AAGTATGATTAAAAGGTGTCTTCAATGGAAACAATACCAGAACATTTATATCAAGGGAATCACGTCAATTATACAGCAGCTGCATAGCCCTTAGGAGAAGATCAAGTTAGCTCCAATTTATTTTTGGAATAGATTATTACCTTGCATGTTTCCAATAGAATATATTCATTCAGTTGGGTATATAATTCAATTTTATAAACAATTAGCAGCTACAGATTTTGCCCCACTTGAGACCTAATTGTCCTATTGCGCAGCGCAAGCAATTGTATTCTCCTGTAAGCATTATATACACATTGGACAGACTTCAGTTTTACTTCACGAGAGACATTTTCGAATAATTAGCACCTACTTGCGCTACAATTAATTTCTCTTATTATTGAACAATTCCAACATTTAACAGCCCAACTAAGAATTTTGGCAAGTGGTATTATTTTTCATGAAAAAAGTATTGAATTCTAATTCTTTATTTTCAATTATTTTAGGAAGTATTGCTTTAGAATTGTAATTTAATTGTTTTGCATTTACTCCTGAATAATAATTGTTTGAATTGTTGATCCTAAATTGTGGTTACCTCAAATAATAATAATAATCATCCTTGCATTTGATATAGCGCCTTATCACGCCTTTGAGACGTCTCAAAGTGCTTCACAGAATATTACAACAACAACAAAATCACATTTGTATAGCGCCTTTCACGTCAGAAGGATGTCCCAAGGCGCTGGACAGACAGACTTATGGACACAAGCTGGGGGTCGGATTGGGGAAGGGTGGAGGGCAGTGGGGGGAAGCAGGAAGATCGAAAGCACGGTCGAAGAGGAGGGTCTTGAGAAGGGTCTTGAAGGTGGCGAGGGAGGGGGCAAGATGGAGGGTCTGCGGGATGGAGTTCCCAGAGGGTGGATGCAGAGTGGCGGAAGACGCCTATACTTTGTGGGCGAAACGCGGCAGCCAATTGCTTACAGCAGTGTCCCACAAACAGTCATAGGTGACTAATTTAGTCATGACTAAATTAAAATAAAAAATTTAAGAGATTGTTACCTTTGGAAAAGCGACTGCCAATCGACCAACAACTGGGTTTCCATTTACTGCTAGGTAAACAGAGGTGTGTGGTGTAAGGAAACTTGCCCAAATTTTCACTCTGCCGGGAAAGTGAACCCAGGTCCTCTTGCTTGCAAGGAGAGTGCTCTCGCCACTAAACTGCAGAACTCCACAGTCAGTACATTTACAAAAATAACTTTACAAAATGCTCTTGCAATGTTTTGACGTGGTAAGGGGCTATAATGAATGTAAGGATTAGTATATTTTTAAAGCACTGTGAATAGTCAGCCTGACACATACTTTATTTCTCTATGTTAATCCTGACAGGGATCCCGTCATTGAAATTATGCCATTCCAATGTGGGTTATAGTGGTGATGAGAGAGGAATGCGAGACAGGTTCGAAGGTGTGGAGGGAGGGATAGGTAGGGGTCAGGGTGTGAGTGGGAGATGGGGAGGGGGTAGTAGACAGAAGGGAAGAGGCAGCTGAGCAGATCCCCTCGACTTTGGTTTCGAGGAAGTCCAGCTTTGCCTCACAGTTGGCGTTGGAGGAGAGAATGAGTGAAGCAGAAGAGGGTGGATGGAGGAGCCGGTGAGTGACGAAGAGGAGCCTGGGGTTGTCCTTGGCCTCCAAGATTGTCTTGGAGTAGAATGACAATTTAGCGGAGGCGAGGGTGGAGCTGTAAGATTTGATAAGGTCCAGCCAGATCTGCCGATGGACCGTTAAGTTATATTTGAATCAGGTACATTCAGCGGCACACACCAGGGCCTTAAGGGAATGGAGGTGGCTGGTATACCAGGGTGAATTTTGTGAGTTGGAGACAGTTCAGGAAGTAAGGGGAGCAAGGGCATCAAGAGTGGTGGAGACGGAGGGGTGAAGAAGAATGACCAAGGAGGATAGGTCATTGCGGGAGGAAGCCCAGAGGGGGATGAGTTCAGATGACTCCAAGGCAGCATAGAGGGAGGGGCGAGGAGATTTTATTCCAGGGGTGGTAGGAGATGGAGATGGGTTGGGTGGCAGTGGGAGAGGGATTGAGGAGTTAAGGGAGATGAAGTAATTGTCCAAGATGGTTTTGTTCGTGATGATGAGGTCTGAGACGGTGAGGCCCCAAGTGATCACCAGGTCGAGGGGAGTACCGCGGATGTGGGTGACAGAGTGGATATGGAGGGAGAGGTTGAAGGAGTAGAAGAGAGAGGAGTCAGTAGAGGTTGAGCAGGAAGGGGTGAAATGAATGTTGAAGTTGCCTCGGATGAGTAGGCATTTGGAGCAGAGGGAGGCAGAAGATAGGACGGTGGAGATGTCGGGTAGGAAGGTGTGGGAGGGTTTGGGGGAAACGACAGATAATGAGAATTTTGAGGGAAAGGTTTGAGGGTGATAAAGGGGTTAGGTGCTCAAAGGAGGGGAAGTTTCCGGAGGAGTAAGAGGATAGGCCGAGTGGGGACCGGGAGATGAGAGCCACACTGAGCAGGAAGGGGTGAAATGAATGTTGAAGTTGCCAAGGATGAGTTAACTTGTGGAGTATGATGGAAGGTGTCGCCAGATGCTGTAGCCTCTGTCAGGTGGAAGGTGTCGCATGGAATGACCCAGGTTTCGATGAGGGGATAAATGTTGATGTTTTTGTCAACAATGAAGTCTTGGATGGTGAGTGTTTTATTGGAGGAGGAGCAGGGATTTTGTAGGCCGATGCAGAGGGGACAGTTGGTGGTGGAAATTGGGGAATGAGTTGGGGGAGGAGGACGATTGACAGGGAGGATGGGGATGTAAATGAGGGAAGAGAGTTTGGCCCCCGGGGTCAGGGACCGATGGGCCTTGCAGCGAGCATTGGGGATAGGGCAGTCAGAGTGGCTGCTGTTGGAAAGCTAGCAGTGTCTGCCATGGTGGATCCAATGGAGGATTTACAGGCTGGAGCAGAGAGAGGCTGCTGTCTTCAAGGGTACTTAGAGGGACAGGGCATGAGATTTGTGTATGACTGGCACACACGAGTCAATCAATCACCACTGGTGATTTTCCTTCTGATTAGAAGCAAGCAAATGCAGCTCTTCTTTTCAAGAACGGTGACAGAAGCATACCTGGTAACTCGAGATCCATTAACCTGAGCTTAATAATTGGAAAACCAATGGAGTCAATTGTCAGAAAGAAAATTAACTATGTAAAAACAGCTTAATAAATGACAGCAAGCACTGATTAAGAAGCGGTAGATCTTGTTTGACCAACCAATAATTTTGTGAAGAGGTAACATCCCAAATTCACTTTGAGAAGCCTTTTACCTAGATTAAAACCTCTTGTGATCGTTTGTGAAGGTCTTTGGTAGTCAGTACAGCAGTTTCAAGAACATTGTGAAGTTGAAGCAATGAAAAGATATGGCATGACCAGAAGTTAATAGGAATGATTTTCATGACTTCAAGTCACAGCAATTGAAAGCAGTCAAAGCAAAGGTGGCTTTTTTCATAACAGGTTATCACTTTAACATCCACATGAAATCCATTGTGAAATATTTACTTTTTCACCCCATTATCTACTTATTCCTTTTTAATAATAATAATAATAATAATCCTTGCATTTGGTATAGTGTCTTATCACATTGGAAAGACATCTTAAAGCGTTTGCAGGATTTACTACGGAATGGAATGACTGTGTATTTGTAAACTGTGTATTTGTTAACACGGTAGCATAATTGCGCACAGCAATTCCCACAAACAGCCATGAAATAAATGACCAATTTTATTTGGGAGATTGTTGGCCAGGACATCAACAATCCCCCAATTCTCTTTTTAAATAGTGCCATGGGATCTTTAACATCCACTTGAACAGGCAGATTGGACCTCGGTTTAACATTTCACCTGAAGAACTGCACCTCCAACAATGCAACTCATCCCCAAGCACTGCATTGAGAGTTTCATCTTAGACTATATGAGTTCAAAGGATTTAAACCTACAACCTTCTGACTCAGAGGTGAGTGTGCTATCAATGACCCAAGCTGTTTTATTATTAAATATGGTAACCAATATTCATTTACAAAATATACAGTAACTGCACTTTACCATACACCCTGTGAAGGTCTTTGAGTCATCCTCCTGAAATCAATGGCTATTCAAATGCAAGGATTATATGTTATTTATTTGATGGTTCAATATACCTCTAAAACACATCTTTATCTAATTTTATATTGAGAATCTATCATCTTACAGATCCATTATTCAATTTTCAGTTGAATCATTTCTTAATATCCCACTTACTTCTGATGAATCAAATGTTTCCCCTCCAAAATCAGGACTTATTTGTAGACTTACAGGGGAATGAACTTTTGTATGAACAGTGATTGCGGGAATAGTAAATGATAATGTAACATTTCGTAAATGTTGTAAAAGGGATGAAACTTCAAAGGGCGACTTGAGTAATGTTCAGTACACAATTCGGAGGCTCCATAACACAGCAGTGAATTTCTGTTGATTCTGAAAAGATCCTGTCCACTGATATGTTCTTATTCACTGAGTAATTCTATCAATAATCTTGTTTACTCTAGTTTTCTATCCTTCTCTAGGGATATATTATCATACAATCTTCAGGGAATGTTAGGAAATTATCCAATAGTTATTGTGTTAATAATCAACAGAACTCAGAATTGTTCAGCTACGAGTGACGTATTATAGAATATAAATGAATGCTGCTCACAAGATAAGTTCAAAAGAAAAGGAGCATCGGTTTATCTGATCTCAGCCTTCAAGAAAGTCAACTTTATCATTTTCCCATTGCCAGTATCAAGCCGTTTCTTAATCGTCCGGTGCCCTGACCTCAATCCTGTTTCTGACAGCCAGTTCCAGCTGTTCAATATCCTGTGTATGAAAGAAAAACTTATTTGGTGTCTAACAATTTAGAAGCCTCATGATTGCAATGCATTTCCTTTTGATTTGGGGGTTGTTTTTATCTGTACTTGCTTCTTTGTGGGGGACACATGAACCAACCTGCAAACGTTGGGGGGTATTTGATTTACTTGGTTTTATCAAGGATGGGGATATAGTCCTTGGTGGACTGTTCAGTGTTCACTCTAATGTACAGGATCAAGATATTTACTTCCAATCCCAACCAACGGCAATAAAATGCAAAAGGTTGGTTGAACTGTTTCAAAGTAAGTGTATTTTAGTGACAATCGGTGTTCGAAAAACTTTGTTTGATGTTTATTTCCTCCTCTTAAAAGTGTTTTAAATTACTCTCCAAAACTGATATACACTACTTAAAAGCTTCATGTATTAAGGTAGTGCTTTTAGGTTAAGGTAAAATATCTGTAATCTAATGGAATAGGTTTTACCTTAAATTTTGATTTATTTTGAAATCACTGTTGCCTTTAATGCATAGCTTTCATAAAGCCCCAAAACCAGCATTTTATTGCATATTGTAATGCAAATATATGTGTATGTTTTACAAATATGAGATTTGTTTTGTTCTACAGTTTTGAGATGAGAGAGTTCCGCTTTGTTCAGACGATGATTTTTGCTGTAGAAGAAATAAACAAGAACCCATTTTTACTTCCGAACATTACCCTAGGTTACAAGATATTTGATTCCTGTGGCATGCCCTCTTTGTCTATAAAAGCGACACTGGAGATAGTAAATGCCCAAGAGAAAACATCTTCAGACTATATTTGTAAATCCTCTCCTGCTGTTTCTGCTATTATTGCAGATTCTGGATCTTCGCAATCTGCAGCCATAGCATCGTCCGTTAGATCTTTCAGAATTCCCATGGTAAGTTTGAACTCAAAGATTAAGACACTTTTATTTTATTTTGTTTTATTTTATTTTACTCTGTTCAGCGGGCTCTGGCCTACTCCATGTCTCCCGCCCGACTCGCCCTACCATCAGTGGCCGGGCTTTCTGCCCCACGCTCTGGAACTCCATCCCACGGTTCCTTTGTCTTGTTTCTTCCCTTGCCTCCTTCAAGGCCGGTCTCAAGACCCTCCTCTTCAATTGTGCCTTCGGTCACTCTTCCACCTCTCTGCCTTCCCTCACTCCTACCCAACCCCTCCTCCATGCTCGGGTCCTGATCCCTGGCTATCAAACACTGTGGGACGTCCTCCCGACGTGAAAGGCGCTTTATAAATGTAATTTTGTTGTTGTTGTTGTAAATAGAAATCAACGGCCTAGGTAATTCTCCAGGTACTGTGATAGGTGGAAAGTATGCAAAATTAGTGGTGAATTGCAAGGCTTCGTGTTGGTTTGGAAACAGCGCATTTTCACCTTATAAATTACAACTTTTCAAGTCAAACTGAATATGTGGGTTGGATATTAGGTGATAGGATCATTATACTGAAGATGATTGTCTATGTAAAGCTTGTAAGAATCAACCACACAAAATGTCGGTTCATCCTCTGTTGGTTTTAATTTGTATTCATTTATTTCTGATTGGAATTTACAGATTAGCTACTTTTCTACATGCGCATGTCTGAGTGACAAACAAGAGTATCCTTCATTTTTAAGGACAATACCCAGCGATTACTTCCAGGCCAGGGCTTTAGCACAGATTGTGAGACATTTCGGGTGGACATGGATCGGAACAATTAAGAGTGATGATGATTATGGTGTATTTGGAATGCAAGCCTTCACAGAGGCTGTACAGCAGAATGGCATCTGCTTTGCTTTCTCTGAATCTTTCTTTAGAACCTATCCCAGAGAGAAGTTGCTTAAAACCGTAGATGTCATAAAGAAATCGACCACCAAAGTAATTGTGGCTTTTCTTGCTCAAGCCGATATGGCCATTTTGCTGGAAGAAGTTGCAAGGCAAAATATCAGTGGCATTCAATGGATTGGGAGCGAAGCTTGGATTTCCACCTCACTTCTCACTCCAGAAAAAACCCGACAGTTCCTTACTGGAGCAATTGGGATTGCGATCAGTAAAGGAAATATATCAGGCTTGAAAAACTTTTTAATTCAACTCCACCCTTCTCTGTATCCGGGAAATGTTTTAATGAAAGAATTTTGGGAAATGATATTCAGCTGCACCCTCAGAAAGACAGAAAGCAAGGCAGAAAAAGAAAATGAAAATCCTTCTCCACGTACTAACGAATGCAGTGGAAAAGAGAGCTTAAGGACATTAAATAATACATTTACAGATGTATCTCAGTTCAGAGTTACATATAACGTGTATAAGGCAACGTATGCTGTGGCGCATGCTCTTCACAATATGCTTTCATGTGAAAGTGGAAATGGCCCATTTGAGAACAAAACCTGTGCAACTAATTTAAATTTTCAACCTTGGCAGGTATGGAAAATTATATATCAAATAATATCAAATGCAAGGATTATTAAAATTACTATACAGTAAACCTCACATAAGTCTTATCAGTTGGGATATATTTAATACAGTATAATGCATGCAAAGTATGTGAAACTTATAAATAATAGAAAATTCAATGGGACTTGGGCAGATGTACAAGTTGGGCAAATATACGATTTATGCAGATCAGACTTATGCGAATTGTACTGTGATTACTTGAAAATATAGGTCTTGGAGTTGTACCAATTTGAAATTCGAGCAAAAGATGAAGATGTTAAATAATGCTAAGTGCATTCAAGTTTACAATCATTATTTATCATTATTCTATCTCTAAATGTGCAGCTTCTGCATTACATAAAAATGACACATTTCACAACTCCGAATGGTGAAAATGTATATTTCGATGAAAATGGGGATCCGGTACCAACTTATGACATTGTAAACTGGCAACCCAATAATGTTGGTGGTTCTGATGTTGTGTCAGTGGGACATTATGATGGATCTGCACCTTTGGGCCAAGAGTTGATCCTAAATGAAAATATTATTGTTTGGAGCGGTGGGCACAAAAAGGTAACGTCAAGCAAAATGATCGATAATCACTTATAAAATCAAGGCACAGCTATTATTCCAAAATATCTATTGGAATGCAATATAACTAAAGGTTCTTGTTTTTAAACCAAGATCCCGCGAGCAGCTTGTTCTGAAACATGTCACCCTGGAACACGGAAAGCAGCCAGAAAGGGGCAACCTATTTGTTGTTTTGACTGCATTCCATGCAGTGATGGAGAAATAAGCAACATCACAGGTGGGTCCGAAGAAATCCAATAGCTCTTATTTTATTGTAAAACATTTTCGAATGAGTCGTTCTTAAAACAAATTGCAATTTCCTTGACTCTTCTTTCATTTTCTCTTAGATTCAATACACTGTATGAAATGCCTTTCGGAATATTGGTCCAGTGTACAACGCGACCAATGCATTCCCAAGCAAACGGAATTCCTTTCTTATTCAGAAATAATAGGAATGGTAATAGTAATATTTGCTATAGTTGGAGCTTGCATTACAATGATCGTGGCAGTTCTTTTCTTTGTTTACAAGCACACTCCTATTGTCAAAGCTAACAACTCTGAATTAAGTTTTCTTCTTCTATTAGCGCTAACGTTCTGCTTTCTTTGCTCCCTTACATTCATTGGCGAACCATCAGTTCCATCCTGCATACTGCGCCACACAATGTTTGGTGTTAGTTTTGTTCTGTGCATGTCCTGTGTTTTGGGGAAAACAATTGTTGTAGTGATGGCATTTAAGGCAACACATCCCCGCAAAAATATAATGAAGTATTTTGGTGTCACACAGCAACGAATGACTGTTTGTATCCTTACTCTGGTGCAGTGCATAATATGCACAATCTGGCTAACAATAGCACCGCCTTTCCCTGTTAAGAATGCTATTTCTTACACGGACAAAATTATTCTGGAATGTGATGTAGGGTCTGTAACAGCTTTTTATTGTGTCCTGGGATATATTGGATGCCTCTCTTGTGTGTGCTTTGTTGTTGCATTTCTAGCTCGAAAGTTGCCTGACAATTTTAATGAGGCCAAATTCATAACCTTTAGCATGATTATGTTTTGTGCAGTTTGGTTATCTTTTATTCCAGTTTATATAAGCTCTCGTGGAAAATATACTGTTGCTGCTGAAGTATTTGCAATTTTGGCGTCTAGTTTTGGTCTTCTTATCTGTATTTTTGCTCCAAAATGTTACATTATTTTATTAAAACCGGACAATAATACAAAGCAACACCTAATGGGAAAGGTATCATCAAAAAAGCTGTGAAAGTAACATGATAGTTTTGTGTATTGTGTATTGTGTTTTAATTTCTTGTTTCAGAGTGAAATGTTTGTATTATTGCATTCGGTGACTGTGTAAAAAAATTACCATGAAATAAAAAGAAATATATCACTATTTGTATAAATTTTGCATATTCACTTTACCTTTTCTGGAATTTGATAAGCAAGATGCGTCCCTCTAGGGAAACTAAAATGGACAAGAATTTGTTGAGAGTGAGATACTAGATGAACGATAACTTTGAAAACAAGTTGTATGATAAAGTCAGGATTAGTAATACAGAAGGCAAGGGAGATAAACAGATTTAAGAGGGAGGATCAAAAAAAATTGGAACAATATTGTGAACAATATAAATAGTTTAAGAAAAGGCAAAGGGAAAAAAACTGGTATGTCCAGTTTGTCTCATGTTGGTGGTAGGCGAATAGTGAGAAACCATAATCATGGTTAATGTTAGTGACCATTTAGATGTAGGTTAATCAGAGAGAGTTAATACAGATGATAAAGAAGAGTTTATTCTAAACCAACCTGGTCAAATGTTTCGAGGAAATTAGTAAGCATGTGACCGAAACACACTGGAAGTTATGAACATTGCTGTTAAAATGTCATTTTATGTAGTGTCACATGAGCTTCTCTGTTCTATTAACAGACCAAAGGAAGGGACCTGGGTTTCTTCTCTCATTTGAAGGACACAGCAAGCACCCGCCCAGCCCCCGGACACTGCAAGGGAGTGTCATCTTAGTTCATGAGCTCCAGGTCTGAATTGGGCCTTGAGACCACAAATTTCTGATTTAAAGGCCAGAATGCTGTGAACTGAGTCCAACTGAAACTAGTTCTTGTGGCTTAGTCTAAGATATTAAAAAATAATGAAATCATGTCCTTAACACTACAAATTCATCCAAGTTAACCTTTGCTGTTGTAAGTTAATGGAACAATTAAACGGATACCTTTTAATCAGATGATAATATAATTAAAACATTTCCCTTCATAATTAGTTTAATTATCTCGAAGAAAATTAAAGGATTAAAGTGGCAATTTGCTTCCATCTGGGAATTGCACCTAATTTGCTCAACATATCCACTAGTTCTATTTAAAACAAATTTACACCGTTTACTTTGGAAGGTAACAGTACATATATAGGAGCAATTGGGAATGCTGTGAGCCACTGATGGGCACACGTTAAGCAATGCATTACAGTATGTATGCTGTGCTATTTATGTCTACTCTAGTTACTGTTTGGCTTGAAGAAAAAACAATTTGCAAACGCTGGGGCATATTTGATCTGCTTGGTTTGTCCAAAGATGGGGATATCGTTCTTGGCGGAGTTTTCAGTGTGCATGTTGATGTTGAGGATCAGGACGTAAATTTTAAGACCCAACCGAGAGCGGTAAAATGTACAAAGTTAGTGCAATTTTCCATCTTTGAGTCGGTAACTTCATTTTTTAAATTAATGCCGTGAAAGAACCATATTACATACTTACTGTTAGATACTGTATTTAATACTGCTTCAAAATAATATATGTACAGACAACTTCAAACATAGGAAAATAATCTAATTGTTTGGCTAAAAACTGTTTTTTTTAAAAATTAGTTGCCTCACGTGTAAGATAGTCCGATACCCAATTGATTGATTTTGATGTTACTTTAGGGATCACCCCACATATATTGGTGTTGCTGTCTCTAGTCTTAGCACAAGTTAGATAAATTTGAGTTGAAATGATAAGTAATCTCTGGTCAAATTTGCTATCTAAAATGTGGATGAAGCTGTATGTTCGTTGCTCCATGATGTTGGAAAACAGATTGGATTCCCAAACTGGACACTTCATTTGCGTGAAATCTTCATGATGGTTCGTCCATAAATCGTCCACACTTAAATGTGCATAGAGGTATCAATTGAATTATTGGATTCCACTCAAATTGTAGCCCAATAAAATGAGGTACCACTATCCTTTGTTTTATCGTTATCACTTGAACAATTTCTCCTTTGTTTATGGTTCTATGTATAGATTTGCATTTATTGATAGTCTTTTGGAAGAAATCTGGCTTGTGCGCAGCGCAGCGTGCAAATTATTTTATGTGTTTTCAGTTTGGAAACATCCCCGTGTCGGTTGATAAGAAAATGAACATAAAGTAAAATAAAAAATGAAATGTGGTAAAATGGACATTGCTTGTAATTCCGCAGAGTAAAGGATATTTCGGAAATCGAATAGCTGCAATGGCTTAAATGTACATTTTGCGATTGCACTTGTATTATACAACAGGTTGCAATTTTGTAAATAGTGTAAAAAGTGGCAATCTATGTACAAGCGTTACCATTCTGCATGTTGCCCAAACCACAGGAAATACAATCGAAATGTTAGTATCTACTGTATTACTCGTGTTGTTATGACTTTGAAATATGTGGTTGAGAATTAATACTTTGATTCCTAATAGCTTTCGATTCAGACTATTTCGTTTTGCAATGGCGATGATCTTTGCAATAGATGAAATAAACAAAGACCCGACACTGCTTCCCAACATTACTCTGGGCTACTGGATTTACGACTCTTGTGGAATGCCTTCTGTATCAATAAAAACAACATTTGAATTTTTGAACAGACTCGAAGAAACATCTTCGGATTTCACCTGCAAAAGGGCACCAGTCGTTTCTGCTATTGTTGGTGACTCTGGTTCCTCACAGTCCTTAGCAATAGCGAGCTTGATCAGTCCTTTTAAAATCCCAATGGTAAGATACTTCATGTTGTAATTGTGCATTTATGGGCAAACTTGGTCACAAAATATGTAATACCCGACATTCCTTAAATTAAATTATTTCATTAAGAAATACTTATTCTGTAAAATACGTTTAAAAGATGTGATTATCCATGAAATGGACAGCCACATATAGATGGCTTTATCACTGTGTTTGTATAATTGTTACCTGTTTTATAATACAAATGCAATCAGTAAAATGTACATTTACTCCATTGCAGCTACGAGATTAAATAATTTAAATTCAAGTTTCTCATTATTCTAAATCCATAGGTAAGTTACGTTGCTACATGTGAATGTCTGAGCAATAGGAGGGAATATCCATCATTTTTTAGGACAATACCAAGTGACTACTTTCAGGTCAGAGCCTTGGCTCAGTTGGTGAAACACTTTGGTTGGACGTGGATCGGGACCGTTAGAAGTGACGATGACTATGGTAACTTTGGAATGAAAGCGTTCACAAAAGCTGTGCAACAACTCGGTGTTTGTATTGCATTCTCTGAGTCTTTCCATATAACATATTCGAGGGGAGAATTGCTGAAAACTGTAGATATTATTAAGAAATCTACCACAAAGGTTGTTGTGGCATTTCTCGCACAAGCAGATATGACTATTCTTATGAATGAAATTGTGCGACAAAATGTGACAGGTATTCAATGGATAGGAAGTGAGGCGTGGGTCACCACAACAGTTCTGTCCCCAGAAGAAAGCAGACGGTTCCTTTCCGGCACAATTGGAATTGCGATTCGCAAAGTACACGTTCCAGGGTTGAGAGAGTTTCTACTGCGAGTTCATCCTTCTGCATATCCAGGAAACCGCTTAGTGAAAGAGTTTTGGAAAATGACCTTCAACTGTACACTAAGAAACGAGGAGCACAAAGCAGATGGAATTAAGGAATGCACAGGACGAGAGGATTTACAGTCTGTACACAATACATATACTGATGTGTCTCAGTACAGAGTGACCTACAATGTCTATGCAGCGACCTACGCTATAGCTCATGCTCTCCATGATATGCTGTCATGTGAAAGTGGCAAAGGTCCATTTCCCAATGAAAGTTGTGCAGCTATTTCACGTTTTCAGCCGTGGCAAGTAAGGAGTATTACTTTTATATAACTATACTGTATGTATTTCAGCTGCACGAGTGGAAAGCCACGTTGAATTGTTAAAGTATGTTGTTGAATTTCAACAGTGTTTCTTCCTCCTTTGTCATTTCCCAACACAGCTTCTACATTACATGAAAACAGTAAATTTCAAAACAAAGATTGGTGAAAATGTTAATTTCGATGAAAATGGGGATCCAGTAGCAACATACGACATTGTAAACTGGCAACCAAATGACCTCGGCGGAACTGAGACAGTCACTGTCGGGCACTATGATGGATCTGCTCCTGCTGGGCAAGAATTTAAATTGAAAGGAAAAGAAATTGTGTGGAGCGTTGGTCAGATTACGGTAAGGTCTTTCCTTGCGTTATATTATCACAAATGTTCAAGGAGCTTTATCAGATGGGTTTCGGATGAAGAGTAGAATTGGTAGTTGTGAATCATCCAAAACATGAAGGTCATTTGTAATTCAAGTGTTAGGTAGAAGCATGAAGAGACCTCCAGATAGTTTTATTTACTAAATATGCACAGGGGGCAGGAAATCACCCCACAGCTCCTGTTAACTCCGCCAGACAGTGGTATCAATGGCAAGCAATGCAGTTTTAGTTGGTTAGAATCCAGTGGTACCCCAGTGCACACTTTGGGGACCCCAAGCCTTGGCTCTTGCCAACCTGTGCCGAATACTTTCTGATATTCGGTAAGCAGGAGGCATCCTTCCAGGGAAAGGGTGAGAATTCCAGTCCAAAAATCTATCTCTGGAAGTTCCATGTGTAGGTGGGATGCATGGAATTCCTAGTTTGGGTTGGACACTCTTATGCATGATGATGGGTTTCTGCATGTATTAGACACCCGGCTGACCAAGAAAAAAAGATAAATTTCAAACAATTTTCTCTAAAATACAAATTACTCCCCCAAATAGCTGTTTAAAGTGCTCTATTGCACTTTTTAACCAAAACAATGTTGCCATTAACCTCTTGCAACATACAAAATACTTTCCAAATGGTATTCAGGGTGAGAAATGGGAGTGTGAGTTGTCGAGCAAAATAAGTAAAATATAAAGTGTTGAAACTTAAATTTTTCTGTAACTAGGTCCCACGGGCGGTTTGCTCTGACAGTTGTCTACCTGGAACAAGGAAAGCAGCAAAAAGAGGACAACCAAAGTGTTGCTTTGATTGTATAGAATGTGCTGATGGTGAAATTAGTAACATCACTGGTAAGAACAAACACAGCTATTAATTCTTTCTTATATTCTCAAACTTTGATTGAACGGATTTCCATTCAGGTACTTTCGACCACAATTTACTTTCTTTCAGATTCAACTTTGTGCCTCAAATGTCCTTTGGAATACCGGTCCAATGATAAACGGGATCATTGCATACTGAAGGAAATTGAATTCCTCTCCTTCGAGGAGACATTGGGGATTGCTCTAGTGACACTGGCATTGCTTGGAGTCTTCATCACTATAAGTGTATTTGCAGCTTTCTATGTTCACAGAGACACTCCTATTGTTAAAGCTAATAACTCGGAGTTAAGTTTTCTGCTTCTTTTCGCATTAGCTTTGTGTTTTCTGTGCTCAGTTACATTCATTGGAGAGCCTTCAGTCTGGTCCTGTAGGTTACGTCACACAGCCTTTGCTATCACTTTTGTTCTTTGTATTTCCTGTGTTTTAGGAAAAACAATCGTTGTGGTGATGGCATTTAATGCAACACTTCCCAGTAATAACATGATGAAGTGGTTTGGACCTACACAACAACGCCTGAGTGTTTTCATCCTTACCCTAATACAATGCTTAATATGTACTGTCTGGCTATGTTTGTCACCACCTTATCCTCTGAAAAATAGTGAATATTTTACAGACAGAATTGTGTTTGAATGCCATCTGGGATCTGCAGTCGCCTTTTACTGTGTACTTGGTTACATTGGACTGTTGTCTTGTGTATGCTTTGGAGTTGCTTTTCTCGCTCGTCGACTTCCAGACAACTTCAATGAAGCGAAGCACATCACTTTCAGCATGCTTATCTTCTGTGCTGTTTGGATCACTTTCATTCCAGCTTATGTAAGCTCTCCTGGAAAATATACTGTGGCTGTAGAAATATTTGCTATTTTGGCATCAAGCTTTGGGCTTCTGGTCTTTATTTTTGCCCCTAAATGTAATATTATCCTGCTGAAAAAAGAACAAAATACTAAAAAGCATATGATGGGTAAAATGGCTTCAAAAGCTCTTTGAAAATTGTTTGCATTTGGCGATAACAGTTAGTTGAGGATAATCTAAACTTTGGTTAAATTCTGGTTTGTTGAATTATCTGAAAAGCAAAATTCAATGTTGTTACTTTATGTCACTGTCAATGTTGTCACGTGTTTATCTGATTGAAAAATTGTAAGGTAAAGCAATTTGTTACAACTATTCATAAAATACTGTTCATCCTTATTGATTGGTACACAATTATTATCGAAGGCCTATGCATGACATAGTGTGGATTCGATTTGTTTCATGGAGTGATGAGAGAACATCCCTGAATTATTTTATTTTAATGTGCAAAGCATGTGATTGCTGAAGGATTCCCCCAAGTGGTGTGTGAGGCTTCAGAACTGGAGTGAAACAGAGCAGAAAATTACAAGGTTCAAATCTGTGCGCGAGGAATACACATCATCATAGCTTTCTCAATACTGGCCTCGGACCTTCAACGTTCTCCTGAACTTGGTTTAACAACTCATCCGAAGGGACAGCGTCTCCCACAACGCTTTCACGTGAGAGGGGAACTCTTAAGAGTCCTGTAGCTCAGTGGTTAGAGCACTCGCTTTGCAAGTGAGAGACCTGAGCTCAATTCCAGGCAGAGGGCGAAACCTTGGGCAAGTTTCCTTACTCCACACAGAGCCTAATAATAATCCCTCCAAAACCCAAAACAATAATAAATTGGTCATTTTCAATCCACGACTGTTTGTGGGACATTGCTGTGCGCAATTGGCTGCCGCGTTCGCCCACAAATATACAGTCAATTCACTTTACAGTGTGTTCTGTGAAGCGCTTTGGGACGTCCTCCCGACGTGAAAAGCGCGATATCAAATGCGAGGATTATTATTATTATTATTATTATTATTATTAAGCGGGAAACTCAGTGGCGAAAGATGAACAGTGCTGTGCAAACCAGAAGTGCGTTCAACAAGACGGGCGCCGCGTGAGAAGGACACGAATCGATGTTCTTGCGATACCGAAGATCACTTTTGTGATAAGCTCCGGAGCTGCTTCGGCACCGTATCAGCAGCTGTCAATCAGCCCGGAGGAGACGACCGATTAACGGCTGTCAATCACTTTGGCCATTTTTTTTAAAAATAGGAGAGAAGTGCCAATCAGTCACAGCGATCCATCACTCTGAGTGACAGGGGCCGGGGGCGGGGCCTGGGCGGGGGGCGTGGCCTGGCGGGCGGGGCCTGGGCTGGGGGGCGTGGCCTGGCGGGGGGCGGGGTCTAGGTGGGGGGCGGGGGCTGGGTGGGGGCGGGGCCTGGGTGGGGCGGGGCCTGGTCGGGTGGGCGCGGAGCCTGGTCTGGGGGGGGGGCCTGGTCGGTGGGGCGGGCCTGGCGGGTGGGGGCGGGGCCGGGGCGGGGCCTGTGGGTGGGGTCGAGGCCTTTTACTCCTGAACTGTTGGGGCTCAGAGACCTGGTACTGAACCGCTCTCCAGCGCTGCGCTCGAGGGTCAGTGAAGCCGCGGAGAGGGGCCGGAGGGGGAGAGGGAGGGAGGGAGGGAGAGGGGCCGGAGGGGGAGAGCCTGGGCCCGGGGACAGCGGTGATGTTCCCCCCGACCCCCGATCCCGGGTACGCGGTTGTGGGTCTCAGTTAAACAATGGCAACTGGTGATGGATGCGGTCCCTGGACCAGGACTGAGCCCTCACTCAGGCCTCGCGCGCTCTCTCTCCTTAATGTCAGCGGGAGCAGCGTTCCGGTCTCTTTGTAAAGGAGCAGATAGACTGTGTGTGTGTGTGTGTGTGTGTCTGTCTGTGCGTGTGTCTGACTGTCTGTGTGTGTGTCTGACTGTCTGTGCGTGTGTCTGTGTGTGTGTGTCTGTCTGACTGTGTGTGTGTCTGTCTGACTGTGTGTCTGTGTGTGTGTCTGACTGTGTGTCTGTGTGTGTGTCTGACTGTGTGTGTGTCTCTGTCTGTGTGTCTGTCTGTCTGTCTGTCTGCGTGTCTCTGTCTGTGTGTGTGTGTCGCTGTCTGTGTCTGTCTGTGTGTGTGTCTCTGTCTGTGTGTGTGTGTCGCTGTCTGTGTGTGTGTCTGTGTCTGTGTGTGTCTCTGTGTGTGTTTGTCTGTGTGTCTTCTGTCTGACTGTGATGGCTCAGGTTACGATGCCATGGCTACCCCCCCCCCCTCCCCCATTGACAGACATCATCTGCTTTGAAACCTCTCAGTGCTGCCAAACGTCCTGTTATTAAATGGGGTTATTGTTACAATGTTCGGGGCAGAGAGAGAAAGAGAAAGAGCTGGAGATCAGGTCCCCCAAGAGGACTCACAAAGAGCAACTCCGACCGAGTTCTGGACTAGTTGGTGCCTCTACAGCAGCGGATGTTATCTCAGGTCCTTCTCAGGTCTCCTCTGTGCACGTTTCTCCCGCCCGACCCGCCCTACCATCGGTGGCCGGGCTTTCAGCCTCTCTGCCCCCACACTCTGGAACTCCATCCCACGGTCCCTTCCCCTCGCTTCCTCCTCGCCTCCTTCAAGCCCGGTCTCAAGACCCTCCTCTGCGACCGTGCCTTTGGTCTCCCCCCCCCACCACCCCTCTGCCTTCCCTCACCCCTACACCACTCCCCCATGCTCGGGCCCCGACAGCTGACTGTTCAGCGCTTTGGGACATCCTCCCGACGTGAAAGGCGCTCTATAGATGTCATTTTGTTGTTGTTGTTATCCCTCTGTGTGTTGGGAGTATTTCTGTGTTTTTTCAATACTGATGAAAGTGAAGCCATTTTGCTGTTGTCTGTGTGAAGATTTGGAGCAGGTTCCGTAATGTAAACTTAAACCGAGGATGTTTGATTTTAATGTTGGGCTTTTTGATAACTGTTTCTCGACTTTGTTGTCAAATTTGATAAGTTATCCACTCTTTGGCAACTGAGAAACAGTCCGTTTAACCGTCATGAGCTGCTCATGGCCTGAGAGCTTCAATAGACTGTGGACTATAGGGAGCAATTGCAACATGATTTGCTGTGGCTCATATTCTTACCCAACCACCGCTCCCATTCCCACAATTATACAATTTGATACCATTCCAACAGTACACAAACAACAGAAATAGGGGATGAGTCAGTTGTTGGTTTCCAGAGCAGTTCAATTCGTGTTTGCTGCAGTGTTCTGGGCTCCTGCTTGTTCATCGCTGTCTGACTCCCCAACCCCATCAGTGGTCAAGGACTCAGCTGTTATACATACCCTAATTCTTTGGAACTCGCTTAAAATCTATCTCCGCTATGCGCCTTGACTGTGCCTTTAGTCAACATCTTCAGCCTCACCCTCACCTCCCTCCTGCCCATCCCTGGAATCCTGTAGCTCAGTGGTAAGAGCACTCACCTTGCAAGCGAGAGACCCGGGTTCTATTCCTGGCAGGACAACACGTTGGGCAGGTTTCCTTACTCCACGTGCCTCTGTTTACCAAGCAGTAAGTAGGAACCCAGTTGTTAGTTGATTGGCAGATTGCCAATATAATAATTGGTCACTCAATCCACGACTGTTTGTGGGACACTGCTGTGCACAATTGGCTGCCGTGTTTTGCCCACAAATATACAGTCAATTCACTTTACAGTATATTCTATGAAGCACTTTGAGACGTCTAGAAGACGTAGAAAGCACTATATCAAATGCAGGATTGTTATTATTTTATTATAGTATGAATGTGGTGAGTGCAATTTGAATGGATCCCCGTCTCTGCACCTTGATCAGTCAAGACAGTTTATTAAATTCCTCCAATGTTTAACTAATTTTTCTTAATATTAATGAACAATAGATTCTGTGACCAGCCTTTCATAATATTAAAAAGCCAACACCCGCTGAAAGGTAACACTTATCACAAAGTGGCGTCTCTGTTTCAAACTAATTTTGTTGTTTTGTCTGTGTTACTCTTGTGACACACATGTACGCCTAAAAGATTTAAGAAAGTAATGCTTGCTGGATTCCCTTTTCATGCTATACTCAAATTTCCAGCACATTAACAATCTTTTGATGTTGGTTGGACTTCCTTGAGAGGAACTAATGGATCACAAGAGACTGAATGTGTACTGTTTTAATCCTTAAAATTGTGTCCCCAGCACTTTTGCCCAGTGAGTTCCTCTACTGAGTGTCCTGATTATTCATGAATAATAAAAAAGAAAGCAGAATCTCGTGTGACTAACCTTTCATTTTGCTCAATCAGAAGAAGATGCTGCCTAACATTAAGATGATCTCTTGGGATTGCTTCAAGCACATGTGAAGCTTGTGGAGACTTTTGGGATATGGAAACCCCAAAGAAGATCTTGTTTGATGATGATGACTTCCCTGCTGCTGACTCTTCTCTTTTTTCCACCTATTCTACACCCATTGCCAAAGTCTGTGGCAAAACTTCATGGTTGAGACCACAGGTGAGCAGCTTCTTTGACGAGAAAGAACTTGAATTTTTATAGCACCTTATCATGCCAAAACATAACAATAAGAAATAATAATCCTTACATTTGATATAGCGCATTATCACGACATTGAGACGTCTCAAGGCCCTTCACAGAATATACTGTTAAGTGGATTGACTAACATTTCAAGTAAGCACAACTAATTACTGTCAAAGGTTGTGATTGTTTTTGTAGGCAAACAGTGGCATCCAATTGCGCTAATAAGGTCCCACAAACAGCCATGAACTGGACTGCCTAGAAGTGTGAAATCTCCACGCATGCCAAGATGTGTACATTTTTATCCAAGTGATAGATAATTAAGAACCTGTAAGATGGTTTGTGTGATGCTGATCTGAAACTACACTCCATTGGCGTTTCAGACAGATCCATCCCTTGTTTATATAATTTAACTATTTAAGATTCTTTCACCCATAAAATCTGTTGAACCACTATAATTGCTCTACTGTAATAGTATGGATTTTCTGGCACATTCTGCAGGGTACGGTTGAAAGTGTCTTTGTATTTTCTAGTTTATTTAGTATTTTGTATCTTTCTGTCTCTCACTTTCTCGCTCTCTCTTGTTTGCCCACTGCTGCTGCTGTTTTTTTTAAATTCTAAAACACTTTTTTTTAAATTTCAGGAAATCTGCAAATCTCCTCGGCTGTTCCCAGCTAATCTGCAAGAAGGACACATCAAGCAAGGACTACTGGGAGATTGCTGGTTTCTTTGTGCTTGCGAAACTCTGCGTAAAAACAGACCTCTGTTAGATAAGGTATGTTAAAGCTGCACAAATCTGAGTGAGACTGCTCTCAGGTGAATGGTTAATGTCTTACACAGACCTTACAGCACGGAAATAGGTCATTTAGCCCCGCTAGTCCGTGTCAGTGTTTGTATTTCTTCCATCCAGTCACAGTCAGCAGCTGGCGGAAGCCTCGCAGCTAGTGAGAAAGCAGCCTGATCAAAGGGCCCTCTAGGACAGAAATGATGCACCGGAGGTGAGGGAGCAATAATGGTTTTAGATTATAAACAAGCTGTCCTGATAGTTGTGCCCCATGTATTGCAGGTGATGCCCCCTGGCCAGGACTCGTGGACACAATCTGGATACAACGGATGTTTCAGATTCCATTTCTGGCGCTTTGGACAGTGGGTTGAAGTAACGATAGATGATCGACTGCCGTGCATAGGTGGGAGGCTCTGCTTCTCTCGACACCGCTCTGAAGAGGTGTTTTGGTTACCGTTAGTGGAAAAGGCATTTGCTAAGTACGAAATTTCTTAAGTAAAAGCCATCTGCATTCTAATTCACTCTTTGCATAATCCAAGGGTTAGATAAGGATTTGTAATATCTTCTTCCTGTCACTCCCTTTGCATAAGATCCATCTAAAGAAGATGATTTCTATTTACTTCTATTTTATATACAGCTTTTGTAACTATACTTGACCAATCTCTTGATCACCTTCTTTATCATTATAGTTCTACTTAACCATTAATAACAACTATTTGTACAAAGGAATCTGGATAGATATATTTGGGAACATTTCCATGTGTCATGGTCACTTTCAATATGTATAAATCTTGATTTAAGTGTACAGTTATGTTCTTAGTATTAACTCATTCAAGCAGTTTATAAACCAGCCTCATTGAGCTGGGACTTAATTCACAAGTGCATCAGATGCTGTGAGTTCTTTAATTGAATGTATTGTTGGTCAGGGACCTGCAGGTGATGTCCCTGGATCCATGTAGGGAAGGGGGAGAGGTGTTAACACAGTTTCCATACACAGCTTGGTTGTTATGAACAATGTTGCCTTGTTCTGATATTGGGATTCCCTCCCACCTGCTGCACAATTGTCTTCTGCTCAGGATAGCCTCGTATTATTGTCCAGTTTAGTATATTTTTAAACTGGTGCTGACAATTATAAAACTCTGGTCTTTGTATTACTCCTCAAACCCTTTATTGCATGTTTTGTATCTTTTGTACGTTACTTAATTAAGTTTAGAGGATGTAGATTAAATCAGAACATTTAATTATTTGTTACTAAAAATGTGACAGATTACCAAGATGTGCTCCACTTAGTTAGTGCTCCACTCCACTAAGTTTTGAAGAATGTGAAACATTTTCTTTATCAGCGTTTGCACGAATGTTGCAACCTCTCATCCCGTTTAACTATAACGCGGATCAGTGTGTGTGCTGTTTCGTGACAACTCTTGACTAAAACTTTTTGTGTCGCTCTTCCTTCTCCAAAGATTCCATGGCTGCTATGAACAGCTGTGGGCCGGGCAAGTGGGTGAAGCTTTAGTTGACATTACAGGAAGCCTTGCTGAGAGGTGGACACTCAAGAATTCTAGGAAAAACAATGAGGAACGTGGCCACTTGGATATTTCCGAAAGGTCCAAATTTGAGTTGCTGAAGCATTTAAACGATAAGAGCTTCATTAGTTGCTCTGTCCATGGTTCAGCCGAAGGTAATGTTAATCATTCTAAATCTATGCAAAATATCCACAACTAGATTACTGGTCAGTCAGATTGCTCAATCTCACTGCAAAAGATAAAGTTCTTATTTGTTCTGTACAACTTACCCTCCAGGTGCCAACGATCGTGCAGAGTATCATGCCTTCAGTGTCACAGATGTGAAGCAAATCGATGGTCTGGTCGCCGAGGAGATCCGGCTGCTAAAGATAAGAAACCTGTGGGACAGGCGTTGCTGGAACGGTTCCTGGCAGGATGGGTAAGGTATTTAATAATGTCCTTGAATTTGTTTTGGTCAGCTAGGTGTCTGACACATGGGGAAACCCATCACCATACTTAAGAGTGTCCAAACCAAACAGAGTTCCAAGCATCCCACCTACATATGGAAATTCCAGAAATATTTATTGGAATGGATTGCAACTCTCCCAGGCGGGACGCACCCTACATAACTAATTCCGGAGAGTATTAAGCATAGGTTGGCAAGAGCAAAGGCTTGGGGACACCAGAGTGTGCGTTGGGGGTACTGAAGGAGTCTAATCAGCTAAAACTGCATTCCAAAAAATGTCTGGCAAGCTTTCTTGCTGCTTGACCAGCTAGGACCACCCTATCCATTAGGATTTGGGATCCATCAAGTTTCAGCACAGTGGAATCTTAACAACATACTTACTACTCAGAGATTTTTAGTCAGTGATTTATTGCGTGAAGGGTGGTGGCTGTCTGCATTTCAGATTTAATGCTGATTTCTGATCAGTGATTTATTTTTCAGAGGTGATGGTTGGAAGAAAGTGGATCCTGCCATTGCTTCCAAACTGCAATCCTTGGCAGCAGATGGGGAGTTCTGGGTGGAGGAGGAGGAGTTTTTCAGAGATTTTGATGAGGTGACTGTAGGGTATCCCATAAATCCAGAGGGAAATATCATCAGTCTTTTAACAGGTAGGTTTAGACATGTATTACCTTAACAAACTTTCAATGATGAATGTGCCAGTTTGTACCCTTCTAAAATTCTCATGAAATTGGGTTTCAGAGAATCAAAATAAACAACAATAATAATAATCCTTGCATTTGATTAAATGAGAGTTAATTATTTTGATTTCATTCTATAGGTAAAAGTTTGTGCCATACACAGCTATGTCCAGGAGCATGGGTCAAAGGACAAACTGCAGGTGGCTGCCGTAATAACAGCAGTTTTTGTAGTAACCCCAAATTCTGGCTGAGAATTGTGAATCCTTGTGAAGTGGTTATCGCACTCCTACAGAAAACCCAGGACTTCAGCAGCACCAATTGTTGGACAGAGCGTATTTCTGCACAGTGCCATGACAATGAAGAAGATCCAGAGCCTGATATTATGCGACAGAAGCATTACCGAGCAATAGGGCTGCACATATGGAAGGTATTCGCACATCAATGCAAAACATACAAGCAGAAGGCATCTGTCACAAACAAAGCAAAGATATTTGTGAACATGCAAGATGAAAAATGAAATAACAGATCTGGTCATCAACTGCGGTTAGAATAGGTAGCCCAACAGGAATGGGTTCCATGACAGGACTATGCAGATTACATTTGTTCAATTGAAAGCTATCCTACAGAAGACACAAATGCTTAAATGTTCTTAACTTAATTTGTATTAAAACTTACAATTTAGATTATAGGTTAACATAACATCTAAATGAGCTATGGCTTTCAGTTTCGGTAACAAGATTACACTAACTAGGGAATGATATTTCAAATATAATTTAGAGGTCTATTGGATTTTAATTTCAATAACCAATAAAATGTCAGACCACCGTAGCTTGTTATAAAGTGACAAATCTTTACAGTAAGATTGAGGTGGATGCAAATTCTCAATTTGATGTTATGCATTAAATAATTTTTTAATTTCTCATTTCAAACTTTCAGGTGGAGAAAAGACGGTTTAATTTGCAGAAAACGGTTGCCAAATCACCGGCCATGTCAACAGAATGTCACACATATGACAGGGAGGTGAAACTGCACGGTGTACTCTCTCCTGGCTACTATCTTGTTATCCCCAGCACATTTATGAAGGATGAAGCCATCCAATTCCTGCTGCGTGCCTTCTCATCATCAAAGATCTCAATGAAGTAAGAAAACAATAATGTGTAGTACTCTATACTCTATATAGTACTCTTCAAGTTGGCTGATATCTCAGAGCACTTTCCAGGGAAGGGGTTGGAGCAGGCGTGAGAGGGAGGTGGCCAAAGTCTTGTTTGAAGAGGTTGGGTTTGAGAAGCACAAGAGCAGAGAAACATAAGTAACAAAGGAAACAGGATACTCATTATATACTATGATAAGGTGCTATATTAAATGCAAGGATTATTATTAACACTATCTGATGCTTTTCTCTCCTCAGTGCAATGAAGGCAACTCAGCCAGTAACCCAGTTTGAGGAGAATTGTGAAGGGGAGTGGGAGATGATACAGTTCATGGATTCATGGATCAGTGGAATGAACGCAGGTGGAAGCAGGAATTTCCCAACATACAACACTAATCCGCACTTTCCATTTTCAATCCTCTCGGACACTGGTGTCAAGAATGTTAGAATCACACTGCACCAGGAAAACTCTGATGGACAATTTCTGCCAATAGGATTCCATGTTTATCAGGTAATGCATTAAACCCAATCATGCTGCATATTTTAAATAACCTCAAGCACCCCAATTCCATAGGTGCCATTTTTAGAAACATTGAAAAAACATGTTTCCCAGATGAGGGAGGAAATGGTTTCTTTAAGGTTCCTGTCCCAGGAAAATTCACCCTGTCTTTGTTTCCTGAAAATACTATTTTGAAGTTACTGCAGTGGCTGTTGTTCTTACAAGGTTTTATTTAAGCTGTTGCTGGTTTTGAATAGGTATATAATAACAGCAGTAAACCATTGAGCCAAGCCTCCTCTTATCTTCTGGAGCCAACAGTGAGCTGTGTACCACATCGCTATACAAAGGAGGTGACTCAGCTTTGCACTCTTAAGCCAGGAAGCTATAACATTGTACCCTCTACATATCAACCCAACAGTGAGGCAAGTTTTACAGTGTCTCTGGAGACCAAAATAGACAGGTGAGATAAAAAATTCTGTTCATCTTATTTCATCCAAATGTGCTGCCATTTTGTGTCCGTTTCATTAAAATACACCCTGCCCAAACCTAACCCATTTTTGAAAAGGTATAATCTAGGGTAAATTCAGCAGACAATTTATGAGCAGTAATGTCCCACAAACAGCCAATGTTTCAATCATGCTTTCAGCACCTCTCTCCTCCCCTCAGCTCTCCCCTCCCTCTCCCTACAAACAGCTTGGGCTCCCAGACACTTTTGTGAAACACTTTGAAACATCCTCCTCAAATGAAAAATACTATATAAATGTAATTTGTACTTGCATTTCACTTTAACATGTTGTTTATTCCTCTGCTCAGGAAACCATTGCAGTGTCAAGAGAATTTGGGACACGCCATTGATGAGGTAACAGTGATTTAATTTAGTAATTTAGTTTTAATCTGTAAATCTGATTTTTAAATACAGTATTTATAAAAAGTAATAATCTAGTTTCAAATGTTGACAAACGGGGGGGGGGGGCTCTGAATTCCAGTTTGTGAAATTCAGTCTGTGAATCCCAAGTCAATAAAGTTCAATAAAATCCTAGAAAGACTGACATTTTACAAAAAAAAAATTTTACTTACCCACCTTTTGTCAGGTTTGCCAACTGGGTTTTACCTATTCGAAGTTGCAGTTAAACACAGAATATTGTGAATATTGCAAATCTGATTGGGTTTCTATGCCTATTATTGTCTTATTGCTGACAGTACTTAATGCTCACCACTTGGTGCCACTATGGCTTCATGTTTGAAGCAGATGCTGACGTGCATGGGTTCAGTCAGGGAATTGTATTCTTCTGCTGTCAGGAAAATGTGTTCTGTAGTTAGCACTAGAATATTTAAACTGCAAATTTATGTTGACAGGCTTTTTGGGAGGGATTGACTTGTTAAAGCAGATTGCGTGAGGTTCTAGAGAAAAAAACAAAATGATCATCAGACTTGTGCCAATAGGAAAGGCAGCGCCTTGGGATGTCCTCCCGAAGTGAAAGGCGCTATACAAATATAATTTTGTTGTTATAATGTTAAATCTGATGACACAGGGCTGCAGAATGCAGGGTTATGGAAATGACAAGGGAGGAGAATTGTGTTATTTATCTGTGGCTGACAAAGTTCAAACGCAAAGAAGACCTCAGTGTTTTTTCTTGTAGAATTGAGGGTGTGAATGATGCTGATAGCAGATGGAAGAGATGAAACTCATGAATTTTAGACTTTACATTTGCTGAGGGATTTCTTTCATGTTCCTGGCATCGTCAGTGTGATTCTTTAAACGTAAAAATACTCAGTTGTTCTTCGAGTTTGTCCTGCCTGGAGTCCTTTAAATTCAGCCAGTTGCATTGCAATGTTTTATTGGGTTCTGTGGGTTCCTGGGTCAGACAGTAAATCAAAGTGATTTGTCAAAGTTGGACAGCAGATAGATTACTCGTGATAGCTGAACATAGACAGGTGACTGGATGACCGGAAGTTGGTGACTAGATGACCAGCAGAAGCTGGCTAGATAACCAGATGATCACAACCCTTACTACTGGGAGAACAGCTGAGCACTTTTACCTGTGTTATTATCTGAAATTATGTTTCCTGTCCCTGAGTGTTCAACTGAGATTGGTCAAACAGATATAAGGCTTACAGTAACGTTTAAGTTGACATAACTAACAGTAGCTTCCTCTTCTGTTTCCCAAAGCTTTCCTACAACTCAGTGATGCAGCACTAAAACTCCAAACTCTCCAAATGATTCTCTGAACACAGTAAGAAACTTTTTTTTATCAGAAGGGAGTCAATCGGGAGACATTCACTCCCCAACATTTGCACATCACAGAACCAGACCACCTCACGCTAATAAGATGTGACAGCGCTCGTCATTGTAAATGAGCAGCTCTGCTTTAAGCGGCTGGAAATGTGCTTGATGCGCAGGAGCGAGAACAAAGGCTGCCTCAGAACTGGATGCTACTTCAAAGAGTCAGCAGCTCTGCACAGCAATGGACAAAGAGCTGATCAGTCTCCCGCTGCTTTGATGTTTACTGAAGACAGATGAGAACAACATTTAAATTCAGTTTGTACTTTGAGCACACCCTGTTATACAGTTCACTGAGTTTTAAAGGTCTGCGTTGCTTGTATTGTTTTCTCAGGCGATGACCTCCTCTGGACTGGATTTTAATCATGTTAAAAACCTGGATCTTTAGTTCCATTCACCAATGTCTCTCTTCTAATTTGCACGATGCAGGGTGTACTGAGGTACACTGCTCTCTTAACGTGTGCAGCTTCTTTTAGATCAGGGACAACCTCACTCATATCTTTCCTGTGAGGTAATGGTTACTATTCAGCATTGGCCAATGACGTACCCATCAGCTTCAATTTGGTTTGAATTTTTGCCCGACACAGTATGAAAATATATGGACTTAATTCTTGCAGGTTTGGGCTCTGATATATAGTACTGAATAACATAACCTGGTCTGAAATGTGCATTACTTTTAGTGATAGATGCTAGGTTATGTAAATCTTGGAGTAGCAAGTTGAGGTTTGGGCATCCTATTACAGGAAGAATGCGAGACTTGGAGAAGGTGCAGCATAGATTCACCAGAACAGTACCAGATATCAGGTAATATATATTTAAATAGAGGCTGGCTAAACTCTTCTATGGAAGCAGAGACTAAGAAGGTATATAATATAGGTCTTTAAGAATTTGAAGTTAAGACAAGGTAAATAGGAAAAACTATTTCCTTTAGTTGAGGAATCAGTCATAATAGTGCTAGGTCAAGCAAAAGAATCAAGGATGAAGGTATAGAAGGAATTTCTTCAATAATAGGGTTCCTTTGGATAAACAGATTTAGCAAGAGAGTACAACATCTTGCATTCTGCTCTTTATCACTATCCATCTACCCCTGCTGGAATATGTGTGTGTAGGTGTGGACTGTGTGAGTACATGATTGGGCTCGACTGTAATGTCCTCCGTAGTGAGTCCGCCAATAATTGGCTATGCTCATGCATGAAAAATGCCACTAAGGTTGAGATACCAGAACCCTATAGACTCTGGAATCTAACTTCAGCATGAAACAGTGCCTTTGTTTATATAAGGTGAGAAATTGAGACAAAGGTTGACGACAGAGATCTGAGTACCCTTTCACTTTGGACTTGGAAGGAATAGTAATACAGCTGGACCCTAAGGAGTTGCCATATGATAGCTGGATAATGCTTGAGTTATTGACATGAAGCGCTGCTGTCCCAGACTAAAACTATCTGCATTCTCCAGTCTTTTGATGCTGGTTTGCTATTCGTGGCTCACTCCCTCTACACCACTGTCAGAAGTCGAACCTTTAACCACTACACTCCCATCTTTAGGAATTCTTAAAATCACTTTGCTATGGTCCTTTAACCTTGCTTTGAAAAACATCCCTAAAAATGTATCTCTTGAACCCATTCTTTCAGTCAAGTGTAAATTTATTTCTCAGTGTTTAGAAGTTTGAGGTATTATTTTATCTGACTGTCCTAATGCAAAAGTAAGTTGTTAGTATGGGTTTCACCTCCATCATCAACAGGCAACACTAAGGAATGGGTTGAAGCAAATGGACCCTACCCACATGCACTGATTGATACCTGTTAGTGAAAACAGTATGTTTGCAGACAAATAACAATATTTTACAGAATTAAAAGAATGGCTGATTGAATAAAATGCCAGCAATTGTAATTCTTCGCAAAGTTCATGTTGACATTTATTTGCTCTTCACACCACCACACACATAAAGGATGCTGCGTAAATGCAAGTTGTTGCAGTATATTTTTCTAATTGCATACTGGTTATACATTTTGTTGGTTATATGCAATTTGCTAGTTTTGTATAATTTATAATTCTTGCATTTGATGTAATATCTATAAGATTGAAATGTCTCAAAGCTTCACAGGTTATTGCTGTCAAGTTTATTTATAGGCAAATGTTACAGCCAATTTACACACACCTAGCATAACGTGAATAACCAGTTTTGAACCAGTTATATTGAAGGTTGTTCGCTGTGACTCCCTTGTCTTTTTGAATATTGTAACTGAACCATCTGAACAAATACATTTTTGATGAACTTCTCAATCTGTGCAGTCCTGTAGCTTAGTGGTTAGAGCGCTCGCCTCGCCAGTGAGAGGACCTGGGTTTGATTCCCGGGCAGGATGAAACGTTAGGCAAGTTTCCTTACTTCACAGGCCTCTGCTCAACCAGCAGTAAGTTGGAACCAGGGTATTAGTTGATTGGCGTATCGCTTTTCCAGGGGTAATAAACCCTTAAAAAAAAATAATAATTTGGTCGCTTCAAACCCCAACTATTTGTGGGACCGACCTGCCCGTTCTCTCCATTCAGCAGGTTCTGATCTGCTCCATGTCTCCCGCCTGACCCGCCCTACCACCGGTGGTCGGGCTTTCAGCCTCTCTGCCCCCACACTCTGGAACTCCATCCCACGGTCCCTTCCCCTCGCTTCCTCCCTCGCCTCCTTCAAGGCCGGTCTCAAAACGCTTCTCTTCAACCGTGCCTTTGGTCTCCCCCCCCCCCCCCCCACCACCACCCCTCTGCCTTCCCTCACCCCTACACCCCGCCCTCCCCCACGCTCGGGGCAGCGCTTTGGGACGTCCCAAAGGCGCTCTATAGATGCCATTTCGGCGGCGAAGGGTGGGGGGGACCCTGCTGTGGCGATTGGCTGCCGCGTTTCGCTGACGAAATATACAGCGGATGCACTTGATAGCGGGTTGCGGTGAAGCACTTTGAGACGTCTCGAAGGCGTGACGAGGCGCTGCATCAAACGTGAGGGATGACCATCATTTGCTGCTGTATATAGTCTAAGCTGACGCTCCAGTGCAGTGCTGGGCAGACGCTGCATTACTGGAGGTGCCTCATTAAGGTGAGAAGTTAAGCCGAGGCCCCGTTTGCCTGTTTGGACAGATGTTAAAGATCTCCCGCGGTGTTGAGCGAATAGAGAAGGGAGTTTCTCTCTCCCGGTCGACAAACCCCAGATAAAATCGCTCATTCACTCGCTCGCTGCACGGCTGTTTGCGAGACATTGTGCAGTATTTGCCCACTAAACTCACAGTCACTACACTTCACGGTGAATCCTGTGAAGAGTTTGAGTCATTGTCCTGATGTGAAAGGAGCTGTTGCCGTAATGTGACGTTATTATCGTCAATAAGAACTAAGCTACACAGTTTGCCATTGATATTGCTGTCTGACAGCTTTCCCACCGCTTGTCCAGCTCGGACCACCCGCCCCGTTAGGGCCTTGGCTTGGGGTTAACAGGAGCCGAGGGGGAGATATCAACTTTGTGACTCCCAAGGGTTGCTGAGGAGCCAGGCCGGGCGAGCCTGTAACCAGTGACTGCTTCCCGTGCGAGCAGTGTGATGGGGTGAGGGTGGGGGAGCGGCGGTGATCTCCAGGCTGGGGTGACATTCCCTATACACGTCACAGTTGTGTAACAAAGTTGTGTAACAAAGTTTACACAACTCCCTCAGTCCCCCCCGCCTCGCCCCCCCTCTCTTCCCCTTTTCAAGTTCGTCCTTCCTTTTCAACCTTGTGGAGTCCTGTAGCTCAGTGGTTAGAGCACTCGCTTTGCAAGTGAGAGACCTGAGTTCAATTCCAGGCAGAGGGCCAAACCTTGGGCAAGTTTCCTTACTCCACACAGAGCCTAATAATAGTCCCTCCAAAAAACTAAAAAACAATAAAAAATTGGTCATTTTCAATCCACGACTGTTTGTGGGACATTGCTGTGCGCAATTGGCTGCCGCGTTCGCCCACAATTATACAGTCAATTCACTTTACAGTGTGTTCTGTGAAGCGCTTTGGGACGTCCTCCCGACGTGAAAAGCGCTATATCAAATGCAAGGATTATTATTATTATTATTATTATCCTCATGACCGCGGCCACCGGCGCAGACCGCAGTGGGGTCGGGAGTGCTCCGCCTCCGGGGCTGTTTGTTGACAGCGGTTGCCATGGAATCGACGCACGGCTGACGCGCGGGAGACGTCACCCCACGCGCCCCTCCCTCCCTCCCCCACCCCCCGGGGGGGGGGAGGCCGCTGCGCGCGCAGGTCTGCGAGTCCAGGCCGCCGCCATGAACAACAAGTTCGACGCGTGAGTCCCTCCCGGGGGCCGCTGTGGGGGTTTGGGCCCCACAGGGGCCGCGCTCCTCCCCTCGGCTCTGTCCTGGGGGGGCAGGTCCCTCCCTCCCTCCGTCGGGCGGTCGGTCGGTCGCTTCTGGCAGAAGAATCGCAAATAAACCGTCCCGGTCCCGGCCCAGCGAGAGCCTGTCAGAGCCCGGGGCTGGGGGTAGGAGGGGGCAATCCAGGTGTGAGGGGGGGCTGTTGGGGTACATTGGGACTCGGGGTGTAGGATGTTTTATATCTACACATATACATATATATATATATATACACTACTGATAAATATATAGTAATCCTCGCAGTTGGTGCAGCGCCTCATCACGTCTTCGAGACGTTCTCGAAGCGCTTTCAGGGGTTACGCCCCAAAGTGAATTGGCGGTACGTTTTTTGGGGGCGAGACGACGATCGTCAGGCACTTGGGGTGCGGATATAATAGTAATCGCCGCCACCGCCGCCGCCGTCGTCGTCGTCCGCGCGTTTGGTGTAGCGCCCGATCACGTCGTTGAGACGTCGCAAAAGCGCTTCGCACGAATGTACTGTAAAGTGGATTGACTGTATGTTTTTGGGGGGTGGGACTGGGGGATCTCATCCGGATGTGGGACTGACGTAAACACTGTGCCGTGTGATTACAACTTCTGGGGAATTAAATTCAACTGATTTGACTGTTCAGCCCACCGTCATGTTCTCTTTGTTTATCATTGCCTTTGTGCCGTGGTAAATGTTTGTAAAAGGTTTGGCTTTTTTTCCAGCCGCAGTTTGTAATAAAGTAACATCAATGTGAAGTGAAGTACTTTGAGGAGCTCCTATTCCCTAATAGTTTATAAGTGGTTTTTTTCTTATTTTCCCGGACGCAGCAGTCAATATACTGCACTTGAGAAACGATGAGCTTCAAAGGCTGAATGGCCTTCTCTCAAAGAATAACCTTTACGAAAATTTGGGCCAGTATTTTCTTGTTCATTCAAATCAATTTTTCACTTTATGCAAATTCATGAATTGGTGTTAGCTATGACACAAACTGTTGTTTACTATAACATCAATAGCCTCCCGTTTCTCATTGTTACAATATCAAATATTTCAGTGAGTTGCAGTCTTCTCGTTTGCACCATGTTCAATCTTGGGGGTAATTGCAGGAAAAAATGCTTTAACGATATTGCGTTTACTCCTTTAAAATGCCTTCGCAACAACTTCTAAACACAATATTTGCATAAAATGCATAAAATATTTAATCCTTACATTTGATATAGCTCCTTTCATGGCAGGAGAATGCTTCAAAGTGCTTCAGTACAATATATATAGGATTTACAATAAAGTGGAGTGAATGTATTTTGTGACTATGTTGACATACAAAGAATGGATTTTATTTGACAAATACTCCTTACTGTTGACAGTATCCTGTGATTTATAACTGCTGTCTGGCTGCAGCTTTGTGTGCCTGATATGCCACTAAAAAGGAGGTGTGTTACCGATTGATTGTTGTTATTTTTACTGAAAATTCTGCATTTTTAAAAAAATTCAAAAGGAATTTCTTACAGTGTTATTTTATCCAGTGATTTCTATCTCAGTGTCGACACTTACCAATTAGTCTCCTGAATTGTAGATTGAAAGATGATGATAGTGGAGACCAAGATCAGAATGAAGATAACCACACACAGAAAGAGAGTGAGAAGGAAAAATCAGACAAAGAGAAGAGCCAGAATAGCATCAAAAGGAAGGTGAGATGAGTTCTGAATCATTAATAGGGGTTGTTTATTGCATGATAAAGCAGGCACAGTACAATAAAAAGAGAAACTAAATTAAATGAAGTGTTACCGAACCAAAAAGGGGAGCAGACTGGAAGGATAGCAGTTAAGAAGAGGGAATCTGAAGTAGAGAGCCTGATGTTCGCAATAATTGGGATCAGTTGCATTGTGAATATTAAAACAGTATGTATACCTCTCCCTCTCTTTCTATCTGTGTATGCATGTTTGTGCAGGTCTTTCCCTCGCTCTCTCACTAGTTATTTACTTGTCTGGATCAGATCTCCACCTTGAACCGTTCAGGAAGAATCATTGCTTATGCAAAGCAATTGCATGCAGTAACATTGCGTGCAATTTAAAAGAAAATATTGCTGACATTGCAGGTAGACTTTACTTCCACATCAGAGATGAAAGGAATAATTGCAGGTTAAGGGGTATCCTCTTGTGTATGAAATTATTTATTGACGTAGGTAAGGTAAAACCAGATTATTACATTGGGCATGGGAGTAGAGGCCATAGAAACAAATGAAAACTAAATTCAGAACAGGTATCACGGAAATGTCTTGACTCCATTCATCTACTAATCAATAGAGGCAAACCATTCACATTCATTATTTTCTAAATCTTGTACACCCATTATATGTGTTGTCTTTTAAAATACAATGTCACTAGAGGTGTGTTTGCTGCATTTCTATATTTTTACTTTAAGAGGCTAAAAGGCAAAGATGAAGTATGGTAGGAGAAGACCATTTGCCCTATCTAGGCTGTTTCTTCCCCAGACAGTCTGCAACCCATTTGATATCCTGAGAAAAGTTTCTACTATCTTTTGTCTGCACCAAAGGTAAATCAACAGATTTCAGAATGTCAGTGCAATCCTTTACCCTGTGTTCATTGTGAAACACTTGTGAAACTACTGGGGTGTTCCATCACCCCAGTAGTTCTTCTAAAACCCTTATCTAACAAATCTTTAGCTGGGAGTTAAACATGTCAATTATACTGATAGGAAAATCTCAAGGCTTGTTAACTTGAAACTGCACTTCAGTCTAATTATATAATCTGCTGTTCTTTAACGTGGTTAAGTCGGGGAAATTGGATTAAAAGATCTGCCGTGATCTAATAACTGGCAGAACAGCCTTGATAGGCTGAATGGCCTATTCCTCTTATTATGTTCAATATAAATTCAGTGGACTGTTTCTATTTTATACAGGCTGTGGTCCCTGGCCCAGGAGAACACCCGTTCCAGTACAACTACACATTTTGGTACTCCAGGCGGACTCCAGGCCGCCCCACCAGTTCGCAGAGTTATGAACAGAATGTTAAACAGATTGGAACCTTTGCCTCTGTAAGCCTTTATAATAATAATCCTTGCATTTTATATGTGCTTCCCAGGTAATTGCAGTCAAGTGTCATGACTGTGTATTTGTAGGCTAAGATGACAACCAATTTGCACACAGCAAAGTTATTTGCTTAAAGCTACAGTGTAAACAGCAGATCTTTTGTATAAACCTGACATTTTGTAACGTAGATATTTGAGGCACGAGTTAACTCACAAAATGCCAGATTGTCCCAGGAGATTTTTAGTCAACAATGTTTACTGTTTTCAAAGGCAAAATACTTCAGGCAAAATGTGTTTAAAACTTTAGCTTATGAGTTTAATAACCGAATTCTCACTGAATGAGCAGTAGAATTTTTCACAAAGATTAGAAGAGCTAGAATCACAGGGCTGCCTGAAAGGTTTGACGTGAGCTTTACAGTGCTAATTGTTACTATCATCGATTGGTTCTGAACCTTAACCACTGCAGAACCTCTTGTACTTCCACAATGGTGACAAGAATAGTGCCAGCAGTGGTGGAGATATCTGCAGCTTTGTTAATCACATTCTTTATTTAATGGAGACCATGCAGGTGAATGGCTGTCAAGAAGGAGGAGAAGTTAGACTTTCACATAAGGGATATGTGAACGGATGTGACTTGGAGGGAGTAAGGAGCGAAGCCACTGTGGGGCGTCATTGCAACATATACAGTGCCCTGCACAACTTGATTTGAATTAAACTTAAAAAAGAATTGAATATGTATCTGTAAGGAATTTATCTTCACAGTGATGATATACTCCATATTTCATGTGGAGTATAAACACTGGCATGGGCTGGTTCGGCCAATTGGTCTGTTTCCTTGCTGTTCTTTGTAAACGTTTGTAAGAATAATGACAATTTTTCAAAAAGGGAGAGAATACTTATAGAATTATTTCTGCTTATACTAATCAGAAAAAGCTTTATACTTTGCAAGTTGAGTTACAATGACTTTGCAAGCCACTGTGGGGCGTCATTGCAACATATACAGTGCTCTGCACAACTTGATTTGAATTAAACTTAAAAGAGAATTGAATATGCATCTGTAAGGAATTTATCTTCACAGTGATGATATTTCTCCCAGGATTATCTTGGGTTGTTGGGGTCATCTGCGATTAACTACGAAACAATAAACAGTTTGTTCATCTCACTCTAGTCCTATTAATAGTGTGGATGTCATTATGCAATAGAGATGCCAAAATATATTAAAAGTTTTTTTAAAAAATGGTTTAGACATAGTCTTGTATTTAATAGGAGTACAGCTTGTCTCCTGACTTAAGAGTCTAGCAGAGTATTACAGAATGTCTGTGTGTCCTTTTAGTTTTCCTGAGGTCAAGTTGTCGTAATAAATACATATTGTAAGTAGCACATTTTCAGTGTGTCCTTTCGAACCATTCTGCTATGTTTCTAATTAGTAAAGACTTGCATCTCAGAGAACAACTTTTCAGGTTTGGTGCTTGATGCTAGTAAAGCCATGGTGCAGAAAACACAGCCTTAAAAGGCTAAATCAACAGTCAAACTGTTAAATGAGTAACCTCTGCTTAGATAGCTTCTAAGATCCTCCAAAGTGATTCTAAGTGCACTTGATTTCATCATTGTGTTTTTAACCTTTTTACACAGAAATTGTCAATCTTTTATTATTTGAACTACCTCCCATCGCCCTTTCAATAATTTCTGCCGATAATCAAATCATTGTTTGTGATCCTAGGGCCAAGGCTAGATCTCCCAGATCACTCTGACCAGAAACTTACAATGTAGAATGACAGTCGTGGAATTGTATACCATGCAGTGATGTGTTGGTATATTTCTGTGGTGCTACCTACCAGTGAATATTGTGCCTTAGTTAAAATACTACCTGGCAAAAGATTAGTGTGCACAATAAGCACAAAATAAACACCATTAAACCGCAAAGGACACCATAGTTTAAGTGCATTTTTTTAAAAATGAGAACAAAAGCATGGGTTGGTTAAAGTTGTAAATGTTTTTGTAAGTTGTAATAGCAACCTGAAATAGCAAATAGTTAAATATCTGAAAATCACCTGTATGTGAATTTCACCATCAATGTTTGATTTATTTTCAGGTTGAACAATTCTGGAGGTTTTATAGTCACTTAGTTCGACCTGGCGACTTGACTGGCCACAGTGATTTTCATCTTTTCAAGGATGGCATCAAACCAATGTGGGAGGTGAGTTGCTATGTTTGGAGGGGAGAACTGAACAAATATATAGTCTTGCCTAGAGTTTTCCTGTGTGGCCCTGCTATTCAAGTAACATTCTCTTTATTTCAGGATCACATCTTTTGCGCATTCATTTTACAAAAGGTTTACATTTAATTGTGGACAGTCCAACGTCTGTTTGATACACTCCAAATCCTCCAAATTTACCCAGACTCAGCTCCAGGTTTGCATCTTGGGCCAATTTAGATTCATAAGGGAATCAGACACAAGGAAATGAGTCCAAAACAATAATAATAATCCTTGCATTTGATATAGCGCTTTTCACGTCGGGATGACGTCCCAAAGCGCTTCACAGAACACACTGTAAAGTGAATTGACTGTATATTTGTGGGCGAACGCAGCAGCTAATTGCGCACAGCAATGTCCCACAAACAGTCGTAGATTGAAAATGACCAATTTATTATTGTTTTGGGTTTTGGAGGGATTATTATTAGGCTCTGTGTGGAGTAAGGAAACTTGCCCAAGGTTTCCCCCTGCCTGGAATTGAACTCAGGTCTCTCACTTGCAAAGCGAGTGCTCTAACCACTGAGCTACAGAAACAACACATAAATCCTGAATGTCTCTTTTCAAGACTTGATTTTGCATGTTTTCTTGCCCATGCATAATAATTATTCACTTTAGTATTACTATATTTTGTTCGCTTCTTTTTCATTTCTCTACAGTGAAAAGTACAGTGAATAGAAACTCAGCCTTGAATAGAAACCACTTCGCAAGAAGCAGATTTGTTAGGAATAAGATTAATGATTAGAGAATGATACCAATTGCATGCATGTTTACATTTTAAGTGACATGTATCAACCCATTAGCTTTTAAACCTTTACCCCTCTCAATGAGTGAGACAATGACCATCCTGTTGGCTTATTAAATTATCCCTAATCTAAGTTGTACCTGCTAATTACAGTAGATAGTTACACGAACAGTTTGAGAAATCACTGTTCATCTGGTTTATTTAAATTTAAATAAATACTCAGCTGTGTTAAACCGCCAAACAGCTTCCTGTTTAGATATGTTTATGTTTTGTGAAGTGCATGAGATACTCTTGATTCTGTTTTTCATCATCTGGCACTTGCTTGACATAATGAAAAAAACATTGTGCAGAGTCTTTTGTAAAGTAGGTGAGTGAATTGATATGTTACTTTGTTATTGATATCCTCAACAAAACATGTTTGGTTTGGATGGACAGAAGTCATTTATTTTAAGAAAGGAAAGTTTAAACAAAAACAGCAGCTAAAATATCAGCTAAAATGTCATACTGGTATTTGTTTCTTGCCTATTATGCAATTGAGTCCATTCGTTATTTAAAGGCATGGGACTTTATTTTGACAGAAGTATTTCCATTGATTTAAAGCGCAATAGAAATGGAAGGAATCCCTCGGATTGATGTGCATTGTGCAGTTGCACATAGTGATTTGATGACTGTGTTTGGCTGTGAAGAAGCACAAGCCTAAGATGGTGAGGTAGATTTTAGGAGTTTTCATAGTTTAACTTTATTTTAGCCATTTTGTGTTTGTGTGGTTGTATTTATTTTAATGCTTATGTAGAGAGATTGGAATAGACAGACAGTGGCATTGTCACAGCCGCTTACGGTACACCTCAAAACAATGGAAAGTAATAACTCTGCTCCCGAGGTCACTATTTATATTAAAAAAAGCTAACTGGGAGGAGGATAGTAAATCTTGGGCTGCTACAGTACAATATGTTTGTTTTGATGAAGATTGCTGCAATGCTGCCTCTGAATTCTTTCCATATGTTTTTGTTCTTTTTTTGATTTCCTCCTCTCGTTATCCCAGGCAAGGCTACAATCCCATGAGCATCAGCTACCTTCGAGTCCATCTCTCATGTATCCAGTGTGAAGGCGCTGTTTTGAATCTACTACTTAATGGCAGACTTGTCACATGGCTGCACCTGCTGGCTGTTTGACAGGGCCTATGATAGGGCTGGGGGTCCATTCTGACCTCTGGCCGCCTGTCAATAGCTTGCGGCTGCTTTCATCAATTTCCTCCCTATTTTTACCATTCGGAAATGCCCATGCTTTGACTCTGAAGTGGGATAGCAGGTGCAGACTGTAAATCTTACCTCTTCCTCTCCCTAATGGCAGGAACATTCTGTAACTTGAATCTTCACTGTCTGAATGTTCAGCTATTCATAGAGTATGGTACACGACAGCCGTTCCCATTCTCAAGGACAGTCAAAATCCCTGTCCTCCAATTTAGAATAAATAATTGCAAATCAAGGCATCAATGTAAACATTTTTTAAACTCAGTGTTAAATCCTAATACCCTTTTGTTTACTTCAAGAATGGGACAAAATGGCAGTATTACCTAGCTGTGTGGCCACACAACAACAAATTGCATTTATATACCAGCTTTCAAGTCAAAATAGGTGGATGAAGATGAGACCAGGCTTTGGTTTGAGGGTTTTTTCTGGACTCTTTGCAGGATGAAGCAAACAAGAATGGTGGGAAGTGGATTATTCGCCTGCGGAAGGGGCTGGCATCACGCTGTTGGGAGAATCTAATTCTAGCAATGCTGGGGGAGCAGTTCATGGTGGGAGAAGAGGTCTGTGGGGCAGTTGTTTCAGTTCGGTTCCAGGTACGTTGCTTGCTTCAGCACTTAAGAGGAAGTACTTTGCTTGTTTGGCTCTCAGCAGAATAATTCAGGACAAGATTAACAATGGGCAGATTCCACCTTTCTAGAAATAAATTGTGCAGAGTTTCACACCTAGAATCCAAGTTCACAGCAGATATATACTGCAAGGTTTTTGGTTGCTGAAAATGTCTTGTGATCTATGAAATCCTATTTAAGAAATGTTTTATTTGTAATGTAAGACCAGGTTATTCAGATTCTAATGGTTATAAGCTTTTCTTTATCTGAACAGTTGAGACTAATTTAAATTGATCTGTGATTTAAAAAAAATTAGGCCTGATTTGTCATTTTAAGAGTCATTTTACAGCATTTGCTACTGTTAAACTCAGACATTGTCACTAAAAGCACAAATTCCACTGAAGTATAAAATGCCTCGGTGAAGGTAACATTTTAAGGTATTGGTAATATGATTTGTAATCTGATGTACTGTCGAGATTTGCACTTTGTTTCAGTACCTACAACATTTAAAGAAAATCTAGAAACCAGAGATTTGTGTTTTTAATTTGAAATATTTGTAACAAAATAAGGGAGTTAAATGTGAAATGTTTGTTTTGTTGTATGGAACTCAGAAAAGCTGTTGTTCTGCTTTAGAAGACAGTCACTTGGACTCTGGTTATGGCACAATAAAGATTAAATGCCATCACAGAGAAGAAACTTATCAGAGGCACTGCATTATATCAGTGATCCAAGTTGAAGAATTGAAGTGTTTATGGACAGAAGATACAATTGGAGGGAAAAAAAAGACACCTTTGCAAAAAGGAAATGACAAAATCCGACCTCTTTGCAGTACCGATGCTGTGGCTCGCATTCTTGTCGCAAAGAAACTTTTAATTTACCCTTTGGCCTGAAGCTTTCGTTTTTGCCCCAGCAGGAAAAAAGATTCCAAATTTTAGCGATGTTTTGTTGACTTTGCCATTTTAATGTTGCTGTTCATTTTGGTAAAGTATTGTATCTGCACCGTCAGTTAGTGAATTCGAATTTCTGTTTGTACCATAGGAGGATATCATCTCAATATGGAATAAAACAGCCAGTGACCAAGCGACTACTGCAAGAATCCGGGACACATTGCGCCGTGTTCTGAACCTACCACCCAATACTATCATGGAGTACAAGACTCATACAGACAGTATCAAGTGAGTACGCCAAGAGCTGGCAAAAATTACGATCAAATTGTGAGTACTAAATTGAGTTCAAAGGGAATTTCGTGGTTAGAATTATTCTTAGTGAGTATTGTGGTTGTCAGAATGCGGAATGCCTTACCACAAATGACTTAGAAGCGGAGTTCTTAACAATATTATTTAACCAGAAATTGGATAAATGCTCAAGGAAAAGTCCTATTATAATAATCCTTGTAGTTGATATAGTGCCTTATCACGTCTTCAAGACGTGAAATAAATTCCTGTCAAGGAAAGACAAGAATTTACTAGGGCAACTTGTTCTAGCTCGGGGGAGGGGGCAAGACTCACACACCCATGAATCAAATTCCTGGGATTCTATATATTAGTTAAATGGGTAGCCCAGAAATGTCAAAAGAGAAAGTATTTTGTGAATGACATTTACAACTGTAATGAGAATTTTATCTAGCTATATTTAATTGAAATATTGTTTGATTTTGTGGTGTATTGAATAACAATGTATTCCTGAATAATTCTGTTTCTTTCACAGAGATAATTCAAGCTTTAGAAATACAAAACTCACCTTGTGAGCACATTGTGCACTCCCTCCACTTCAGCTCATAAGGAAGGTACTTGCACTGTGTCATGAAGAAACTTCACTTTTTTTAAAGAGAGTAACAAAACTGAAAGCCATCTTCCAACGTTCAGTTTGAGTCCTGACTTCACTTTCAGAGACTTTCTCTTTGCCATTGGGTTATTTTTAGTGGTAAAATCTGCTGTACACCTGTCAATGTTTGTGTATATAGAACCTAAGGCTTAAAGCAAGACAGCTGTACTGCTGGTGGTGCACTTAAATTATTGGTTCCCTGTCTCCTTTGGCTACTCCATCTCATTCTCTCCTAATTTCATTTCTTATATCTTCACATCTATATTTCCCTTTTATCTCCATACTCCTGTTTGGTTCTTCTTATGGGGAAATGCTGCTGCTTTATTATTTTATAAGCCATCTTTTATTTGCAGATGTACATGTTCAGATATTTTTGCAAACAAACCATTTGCTTGGTGCTATTTTCAAATAAAAAAACACTTTATGGCTGACTTAGCTTTTCTGTTGTACTAAAGGATTTGAATGAATGATGCACAAAGGAGAAAAGCCATTAGAAACGCTACAACTCCTGAAGGCGATGATTTGGGCCTGAGTACAGTTACCAAAGGCCCATTTTGTATTTTACTTAAAGGTAATTCTTAATGTCTAGGGAGTAATTGTGGGCAGGATATTTAACAAGGTGGGGAGGAAAATAGTCGTGCATCCAAAATCAATTTTCCTCACCTGCTGGCCACGTGTAATAATAATAATCCTTGCATTTGATATAGCGCTTTTCACGTCGGGAGGACGTCCCAAAGCGCTTCACAGAAACACACTGTAAAGTGAATTGACTGTATATTTGTGGGTGAACGCGGCAGCCAATTGCGCACAGCAATGTCCCACAAACAGTCGTAGATTGAAAATGACCAATTTATTATTGTTTTTGGTTTTGGAGGGATTATGAGTTTATCATAACAATTTCAAACCTACATCCAGGACTGAGAACTTTAACTGATGTTCTCATTTCCCCTACCCCCACTAACCCACAGTGCTCAATTTCAGCATTCTCTGAACAGACCATTGATTGAACTCAAGTCAGTTAAATGGAGATACAAAGTTATAAACACTTATGACCATTAAAAATTCAACTCAGATGTCGACACTGGTCTGGCCACTTTAACAAATAACTTTATTAACTATGCTTGTCCATACAAAGATAATGAAGATGCCAGTATAATTATCACAAACAGGAATGAAGTCAGCTTTCAGGATCACAGGCACGCAGTACCAGCTGTGATCAACTTAGTACACTGTACCACACAATTTGTATCTGGGATAACTTATTTCCTATTATGAGGCAAGAACCATGTGCTTACAACATTAACTCAGCAAGTTGAGTAAAACATGTTCTATCATTTCTAACTCAAGTCTGTCCAGAATTATCTGGCAAATGTCATATTTACTACAACATACTACAACATGATTAAAGCAGCTTCTATCAAACATTCCACAAACAGGAGCTATTTATACTGTTTTAGTTTTTAAAATTCCACACTGAAGATACATTGATACCAATATAAAATTCCTAATTTATCAATTTTCATCATTTAATGGTTAGTGTCAAGCTGCTGAATCATTGAGGTCATTGGAAGAAATATCTTAAGATTCAGCTCATTTCGAAGAACATGTAGTTCTGTAAGAGATCAGAGAAATGCTTACACACTTAACTGAGTAAACAACCCTGAAAACCATGTAGAAAAGTTTGCCTAGATTTGCAACTTACCAGTAAAAAGGCTGCACTCAGTAACAGCACCTTTGCATTAGGGTTCATGTTGGCTGGAACTGCATTTTTAAAAAAAACAAAAATCAGAGCTTAAAAGTTTTGAAGACATATCTGACATTTTTAATGCCACCTGCAGTTATGACATGAACCTTAACATAAAAATTTCAGAATGCTTACACAATCTACACAAAACACATACTAATATCCATATTAGTATATCCTACAACATGCAAATCTATTAGCCTGGCTCAGCTGGTCACATTCTTGCTTCTTGGTCAATAACTTGTGAGTTTAATTGGGACTTAAACTCAGTCTAGACTGACGCTTGAGTTCAGTGCTGGAAAGTGCTGCATTGTCAGCTGAGAAATTAAACCGAGGTCCTACTAAAGATCCCATGATAATTCCGAGAGAGAAGAGAGTTTCTGCCAGTGTCCTGACCAAGAATTTTCCCGATAAACTGGTCATTCATCTCAAAACTGCTACCACACTTGTCTACAATCAACAGTCACTTGTGAAGTAAAGCATGTTGAGAAGTAAATTACATACAGTGTTACAGCACAGAAATGGGCCATAGACCACAACTAGTCCATGCTGATGTTTATATCCACATTAGCCTCAAACTCTCCTAAACCCCGATGGGATGCAAGGATCATTATACAGTATATTCTTTCTGTGTAATATACCTCAGTGCAAGTAAATATATCAGCATAAATTTTAGAAATTATGGGTAGCTCACTCAAAAGACTGCATTGCCTAAGCCAACACATGGACAGATGGCAAGCTTGGTCAAGTTCAGGGCCATTTTCTGGCTGGAATTCAATGGTTGTCTTCTGGATTTAATTGGGATCCTCCTGTCCAAGATTTACCAAGAAAACAGTGAGCCACAAAACCAACAGAATATTTGTACTGGAGCCAGTCAGTCAACGTCTGAATAAATAGGACCTCCCTTTACATCTCTAAGTATCCTCATGCCCTGATTAATGACTGTAACAGTAAAAGGGTTGTCTTACGAACAAGTCTGAGCAAGGCTCAGTCCCTGCAGTATCCAGGCTGCAGTACAGTGTTGTTGCCTTGGTTGCTAAGGAACGTTCGTGCTGAGCTGTAACAGTTCTTGTGGATTTTACGTTTTTGTCTTATTTTATATTCAAGGTTTTTATTTTAAGAAAATCTCCACGCAGTGATGTAATGGTCCTGTCCTTTCTAAGATGTGCTGAGTGTCTCGAGGCAACGATCATAAATAGAGCAGTACATTCATAAACAACAAATGTTATATGCGGTTTGGTATAGATTTATAAAAGATGCTTACAGTCCACACCAAAGTGATCGTGATCCATGTTAAATTCCGCATTGAAACCTCGCCATCGTTTCCAGATCAGCCCCAACCTATTGCCAATCCTGGACGTAACCTTCAGTGGTGAGCACACACAAGTAGTAGGATTATGGTGATATATTGCGATCACAATACATGCGAGAGCGCACACACACAGCAAATCAACCTTATTGCAGATCGACACAATGCAAGAGTAAGCTTGCGATATCAGTAATAATAAATAAAAATCATTGCAGGTGAGAGAAAAATTCATGATCTCTGTCAATTATAATAATTCATTTGACATAGCACTATATCATGTTAAAACATTACAGGATTTTCTGTAAATTGTAGTGACTATCTAGGTGTTATACAGCAGCTAATTTGTGCACCACAATGTCCAACAAACATCAATGAATTGAATGATCGTTTTTTTCTGGCGCTTAGAGGACCTCTCCTCATCCCAATAACTGCTGGAAAAGTACACTAGTAGGGGATTGCTGCACACAGTACAGATGTCTACAGCAACCTGCTGATCAAGAAGTTCTGGCCAGAGGCTACTCCATTAGGCAAACTATTAACCTGGATCTGATTTTATGAATCCAAATCACTATGTTATAAACCCCTCACTCAATCCCTTCGCCTTGCCCTCTCTGGTTGCGCCTGAAGACCTTCCTCTTCGACCGTGCCTATGATCACCTTCCCTCTCCCCCTGGCTCGGCATCAGGCTCCAGCATTGTTAAGCACTCTGGATCGCCGCCCAGTGTGGAGAGAGCTATATGAATGCAAGTTTTTGACCGACTGTAGAATGATTCTTATTCTTTTCATCAGAACCTACCTCACCCAGTCTACTTATCCTTTGCTTAGTTGAAATAGGTACACGTACTCTACCTGGAATTCCTGATCTGCGGAACATCTGCAGGGACAACAGCACCATGAATTTTCATAATGCCACATCCTTCTGGGTCACAAACCTCAAGGAGGGGTGTGAACATGCTCCACCTGCAGAGACACAAAGGGCAATACTAAACGGAGTGAGCCTGGCACTTTCTGTGACATTGTGGGCAATTTCACATGGTGCATCTGCACTCACCAAGTTAATTTCAGGCATGACCTCCTACTATCACTCAGCTGAATTTGAACCCAGATTCAAAGAAATAACATTAATAGTAAAACCCCTGTTGCACCCATTTAAGTCCTAATTTAATGTCAGATTCCTCGAGACAGATTGAATCTCCTAACTGCTGAAACTTCTTTGAGTCTTTGAATGTTCTGATCAGAACGAGTTTCTTCTAAGCTCATGTTACTATAATATATAACCTTATTGAATATATAGCAATTTAAACCAGTTAGGAGAAATACAGCACCATACTTATTTGAGGCCTTTCTGCTGCAAAGTAATTGCACTGAAGCCATTAGATTGTTGTTGCTATAAAGAGTTATCATTGCATTGATTAAAATGGTTAAGTATTAAGCAGGCTGCACTTACCTTTGTTTCACTGAGCCAATTAATTCCTTCCTGGAGTTGAACACACTCATCTCCATTAGACAGCACCCAAAGCAACAAGCATCAACTCTGAAGGGTCTGATGAAGTGTAGCACTTCCTCTGATTGGTGGTTATAGATTTTAATACAACAGGAACGAGCGGGACCACACAGGTTCAAGCACAGGCAGCTGGTATCTGAGAGAGAAAAAAAAATCCTATAATAATATTTATATTTGGTCTAGCACCTTATCATGTTGAAACATCTCAAAGCATGTCACAGGATTTACTATAATGCGTATTTTGTAGATGAACTAGGCAGCCAATGTGTGCACATCCAAGCCCACAAACAGCCAGGAGGCAAATGAACATTTTTTAAAAATCTATTTTCAAATTTTCAATGCTAGGAGACATTTAACACTTTTACAGATTGATAACAGAAACATTAAATTTCATGATGCTTGTGGTTTTCTGATTAGAAAGAATACAGTTATAAATGATGTACTGAAGTGTGACAGGACTTGTTTATAACCAGCCTATCATAAATGCCTATGATATAAAAGTCTTACATACTGTGACTGTTACTTCATATGGGGTGGGTCTTAAGATCACAAGTGAGATACAGTATTTCAGTAGATTTATGTTTAAGATATTTTTGGACCTATCGGGACTTTCTACATCTTCTGTTCAGGAATGAATCAGTGCAGGAGCCAATGAGCCCCTAATTAATGGATTATATTTCCTTCCAGAAAACATTCTCCCTTTCCCTCCACATCTCATTGGTAGCATACAATTCGACAAGTATTGCAAGGCTCCCCAGCACCTCACCCAAATGTACCAGAGTGAGAACATTCAGATGTTCCTAATCCTGTCCTTAGCCCATAGTTTATAGCAGAGTCACTGAATACTGATCAGGAGCAGAACCTCTTTATCCCCTTCCCTAGACCAGGAACTAGGGTCTCTATTGCCATTGTTAACTCAATGCAAGCAAAACCAATCCTCATCAGTATCACTTAATGCCCCTCTACACATTTACTCTCTGAGCCATTGGAGGGAGATCATATTTGTTATTAATTGAAAGTAATGTGGTCAATATCAAGAAATGGAAAGTCCAATTGATATGAAAGTTCCTATTGCTGGTTAGGTCTGGTTAATAGTATCAGGCTTTGGCAACAAGACCTGACCTGACAGAGAGAGGAATGTTTACCTTCAGAAGCCACGTACAATTGTCGTCCTGTCTGGTTTGTGATGGTGTAGCATCTGGCAGGATCACAAGTTGGTCCTACAATAGAGATGAAAGATAATAAAAAAAAAGACCAAGTAGAAAGGTTTATTCTGTGTCTTTATCACATCCTGCACCCGACCAGGAGTTTTAAAGGGATAATGTAAACGTGTGTCTAAACACATGCTGAATTTGATCTGTGACAGTGCAGGTGGGTTTCATCAGTATCTAACACATAGTGGCTGACATTGGTGCTCAAAATGGAATGATAGCACTAACAACCTTCACCTTGCTCGGCACATAAATCACATGAAAAGCAGAAGAGGCGAAATTTAAACAATTAGCTCTTGTTCCTTTCTGCAAAGTAGCCTTTATTGTACACCAATTGGAATTTTCCCCTTTCAAACTTGCAAAACAATAAAATGAATTTGTGCAGAGCAGTGAGTGCTGCGAGTCAGCTCTGTGTCTCAGATGGTGAAAGTTTAGTCCACTTCTATCTTTGCGGGGGGTTTCTTTTGTTCTAATGACTTAAAGTGATGGTTGCTGTGGAGATAAAAGTCACACTGCCCTGTGTGGGCAGTCAGGTCCCAGAGATCACTCTTTTCTAATCCAGCCTTTTATACTTCTAGTCCTGAAGCAATAAAACATGCCCAGCAGCAAAATGACTTGCTGAATCTTTTACCAAAACAGTGAGATACGAAAGAACATGCTTCAGTCCTGTCAATATTCTGCTTCAATGCAGGTTAAACTGGTGCTCTGTAGCTGAAGGTGAATTTGTTGCTTTCTCTGAACATTTGGCTCCAGCCCCTACCATCAACTGGAGTAATATTCCTGCCAGAGCTTAGTTGTAAAGGCCTGCCTTTTACTGCGAAACAGTGACCTCCTACCAAGTATATTAGACCCCAATCTGTGAGAGCTGAGATTTCTAAAATAGAGTCACTCCAAGTCTATGTCATCTAAAGATGACCTCCGTAATTTACAATTTCTAACCTACAACTATACAAGAGATGTTAATGGCATATACATGCAATTCACACAGTCACTGGTGTAAGAACAGGATGTACTCACCTTGGAGCTCAGCCTTTGCAGTGATGCACAGCTGGTGGAGCTGCTGGAGAGGTCTCAGTCCATGTAATTGCTGGCCTGCCTCTGGGTGTGTTGAGAGGGGAAGAGGTCGATATGAGGCTTCGGCCCATTGTCTTCCCCCGAGCTCCTTCAGATGGGCCCTGGAACTCTGTTCTTTCAACTCTGAATCTCCGTCTGATTCCATCTCCTCCAGAACTTCTTTCGATCTTCCCAAGCACATCCCAATGGGCTCAGTCACAGTCCCTCCAGTTGCAGAAAGCTGGATAGTATTCAATGGCTCACCAGGTTCTACACCTCTCCTACCCTTAAATTCTCCCCAAACACTTTCAATGTGTTTTTCTCTCTTTAATACCCCAAAGGGGGTAGGCTGTGTGGTCACTGCAGACATGTCTGCTGCCTCTCCACACTTTTTTTTACAAAAATAAAGTTCGTAAACTCTTGATCGGATTACTGGAGTTTCCATCCCAACCACCGGATCTTACTCATTGTGTTTTTAAATAAAGGATTCACTCAGGCGCCGTAAGATTCTCCTCTCTCAGGAGAGCCTGTGCAATCCTAACCAAGCTTTCAAGGAGAAAACAAGAGAACCAGGAATAAATTAAAATAAATTTGGGAGTGAGAAACAATAGCCTCTGGACACTTGTATTTACAAGGCTGCAGAATAGGGAAGTGTACACACAGCTAACAGTACTTGTCAACACAGACTGACGTTGAAAGAATGGGTTTTGTGACATTCTTAGAATTCACAAATAACTTGTTCCAAGAAATAAACTTACATTAAAGAGTTATACCAACTCGAGAAGTGAGCACAAAATAAATTTCTTTCTCTTCCCAACTTTAGGATTCAGTATATCCAGAGGTTCACCCACGTTCAATATAATTGAATAATAATAATATTTGCATTTGGTATAGCACCTTATCACGTCAGAAGGACATCTCAAAGTGCTTCACAGATTTACTATGAATTACAGTGACTGTAGGCATACGCAGCAGAACAATTGCACACAGCGATGTCCCACAAACAGCCATGGAGTGACCAGTTTTATTTGAGATTTTTGGCCAGGGCACTGGGAGAAACTCCATTCCTTTTTGAATAGTGCCATGGGATCTTTAACGTCCACCTGAACAGGCTGACGGGATCTCCGTTTAATGTCTTATCCAAAGGACAGTAAATGTCTGTGTGCCCTGGGATTACTAGCCACCGATTGCTGCTGTCTCACAGCTCCTGGGTCACGTATTTCTGTGTGAATCACCAATGCCCAGCATGTTAAGGTGAGCCTAAATATTAACTAACTATTTTCTGCAATTTAAACAAACTAGGCCAGTCTTAACATTCAAGACCATTTTGCCTTAAAATTTAAGATCATGCAGAATTGTGGAAAGTACCTGAATTCAGTCTTGATTTGGAAGCCAGATTTCCATAGTTCTTAGAAGATATACCAGCTTCCAAATGAAGACAAGGTTTAAGAATCTGTGTCCCTTTGAACACCCAGAAGATGTTTATCTGGTGCCGCATCAGTTGCAATCTCTGAAAAATAGATTCGAGTATTACACAGCTGCCTGACTTCAGCTGGCCAGGCACAATACACCTGTCTCAGGTGTAAATATTGTTTGAAGGGGTTTCCTGCAGAATGGCACATCAGGTCACTAACTGACAGCTATTAGATGAGAATAATAATAATAATAATCCTTGCACTTGATATAGCATCTTATCACATCGTTGAGACATCTCAAAGCACTTCACAGAATATATTGTAAAGTGGATTGATTGTGTATTTGGTGAGCAAATCGCGGCAGCCAATTTGACCAGAAGGTGATATATAGGTTAAAGACGTATAGCAGTGAGAATCTTGACTCCAATGCCAGCCTATGTGAGGATATCACTCCCTAAACCTCTCTCCAAGAATAATTGTGACTGGCTACAGCTTTGCCCAAAAAAGCATTTGAAAATTATTGATATGACATTCCACAAACAACTCAAATTATTTAGATTTCTATTTGGATGTGGGGGTGGGTGAATTTGGGACTCCCCACTCGCTTATTGGTACATCCTTCCAGCTCCATACTGCCCAACTCAGATACCCAATAAATACTGCACTTGCCTTGTCCTATTCATTGCCCCAGAGAGAAAAATACACTTTACATCCATTGTAGCTTTCAGGGCTCAGCACAGATGTTCCATATAAGCAGCATCGACCAGCAATGAGTCACTTATATACAGTGACAAATCAATTATATTTGGTGACAGGTTTTACTGTAAAACACAGATTATACTAAAAAAGAAACTTCCCTTCCGATCTACTGTCCAGTGAAATTAGAGATGTGAAAATTGCTGAATTCCATAGGAATTCCGTAACAGCAAATCTCCAGGTACAAAATTTCAGAAAAATACTCTGATGTTTCAAAACAATTTCTGTCGTGCCTCAACCATACAGATCATACTGATCCTTTTTATGCATCTCACATTTGGATCGATCATGTGCACAGATATATGTGTTTCATGTGTCTCTAGGTTTCTGTTTGTCTGAAAGTGAATGTGTGCGTGTGTAAGTCTGTATCAGAATGTGTGCACACATATGTAGTGAATAACAGAAAAAAACATGTTTTCTCAAAGTTTGGGGTAATCTACCAAGCAAGTTGTGGAACAAACACATTAGGGTTTATTCAAAATAGAATATGATAATAGGACAGCTAATATACAGGAAGGATAAGCTTTGGGACTGAATGGCCTTTTCTCATCCCTGAATTCTCTTATTTTATTAAGTATCTTGGATGCCCTGGTGCATAATCAAAACCATCATTTTCAAACGGTAACGCTGGGGGGTGATTGAGTTTGCCCATCAAGAAGATAGAGATTGTTCCGATGATTATGATTGGAGTTATCAGGAAGAGACAGAGTCTGTCCACAGTCCGGGCCACACGATTCCAGCTATCCTTCTCCTGAGACAGAAAGAAACATGTGATTGAGCCCAATGTTCAGTGGAAGGAGAGTAAGAATCACAGCAAAAGGAGATACACTGGAAGGAGAGAGACAAATACATTTCTAATAAGCATACAATGAATGGTATGCTCTTATTTTTGAGGACAGAAGACTGATAACCCTGCATAGTGCGGGAGACTGTGCTTCAGCAGAGAGAAGTACGTAGAGAGCATCAGAACAGTCAGAAACGTGGTCACGTGGAGAAGGTGGTGTGTTGCTGCGAGAGCTCTTACTCACCTCATCATAATCGTTTGTGTCCTTTGTGTGCTTCACAATGTAATTTGCCGCATCGATACCAGGCTTGATCTCGGAGTAAAACTGGTCTGAAATCTCGTGCTGCTTCTCGCCACTGTTAGCAGTAGCTGCATTGAAAAAAAAGGTTTAGATCTTTGTTATTGAAGGTACCATTTCTTTTCTCCAAATTGCCATGGAAATCTTGCCAGACGGCGATATCAATGACAAGCTATCAGTTTTTAGTTAGTTAGACTCCAGCAGTACCCCAACACGTACTCTGGGGTCCCCACATCTTAGCTCCTGCCAACCTTCAGTGAGCGAACAGTAAACTGTGAAACAGGCTCCCGAGGGAGGACGATTGAAGCAGGAAATGTTGATTGCTTCAAACACAGATTCATTTTCTTTTAGGGAATAACATTATGGGATATAGTACATAAGTAGTTCGGGACATATGTGCATGTGACCACCAGGAAGGTGGAAGGTGAACTAGATGGACCTTGGTCTTTTTTTCATCTACCAATTTTTGTGTTCTTATGCACCTTATATTTTCCGGAACTAGTTAAGCAAGATGTAGCCCTCCAGGGAGAGAGTGCACATTGCATTCCAACAGTCTGTCTCTGGAATCTCCATGTGTAGGTGGGATTCACGGAATTCTCAGCTTAGTTTGGATACGCTTAAGCACGGTGATGGGTTTCCACATTTGCCAGACACCCAGCTGACACAAAAAAAATCTTCTTTTTTTTTTTAAGATGAGCCCAGCTTCAATTATTGTCGAATCTTTACAGTTCTGAGCAATAACCACCCACATTGGAATTTTTTTTGGGTTTTGCTCGTTGGTCCACTCACGTGCTTTGGGGGTGGTTCTCGCCTTCATCCCGTGCCGTTGTGACTGCTTCTCAAACATCAGTTCGCTCCTGGATTTGATGGTGAAATATTCCTCGGCTTTGGCAATGTATCCAACTGAGCTGCTGCGTCGCTGAATGGCCCCGTTCACCCACAGCTCCTCCTCCTCTGGTTGTGACATGTGCAGGATCCGTGGCAGAGTTTCTAAAAACAGCTGGAAAAACAATCAGCTATAGTGCACCAACATTAACAGAACAATTGGGACACAGAACAGCCATCACAATAGTCCATGCATTTGACTACAGGGTCTTTCATGTCAAGAGTTTGCCTCAAAGCACTTCACAGGATTTATGTAAATTTTATGTATATTTTGTAGGTGTTCGTGGCAGCGAATTTGCACACAACAATGTCCCGCAAATAGTCATGAAGTGAGTGAACAATTTTTATTTTGGGGGAAATTATTAGCCAGGATACCAGGACACTTTCTCTTCGAATACTGCCATGGAGTCCTGTGGCTCAGTGGTTAGAGCACTCGCTTTGCAAGTGAGAGACCTGAGTTCAATTCCAGGCAGAGGGCGAAACCTTGGGCAAGTTTCCTTACTCCACACAGAGCCTAATAATAATCCCTCCAAAACCAAAAACAATAATAAATTGGTCATTTTCAATCTACGACTGTTTGTGGGACATTGCTGTGCGCAATTGGCTGCCGCGTTTGCCCACAAATATACAGTCAATTCACTTTACAGTGTACTCTGTGAAGCGCTTTGGGACGTCCTCCCGACGTGAAAAGCGCTATATCAAATGCAAGGATTATTATTATTATTATTATGGAATCTTTAATGTTCACCTGAACAGGCAGACGGGACTTTGGTTTAATGTGTTATCTGAAGGATAGTTCCAGTGACAATACAGCATACCTCCAGCACTGCATTCAAGTGTCAGCCTTGACTATTTGAGTTAAATTTTCTGAAGTTGGGCTTCACCCCATGTTTCCGAATTTATCTCAGTTATCACAGCGCACTTCAGGTTATGTGTATAATGTGCAAACACACTGTACAAATAATCTCAATAACACTCTGAACATTTAAACTGCTGAACCAATAAATCATTACTATTGTTGACCTCTTCACCCCAGAGCAAGGACTTTGAACCCAACTGTAGCAGTGAAAATGTCAACCCAGGCTAAAATCAGGCACTCAACACAAACCCAGACAGAGATCAAACTTGGTACCTTCTGAATCTGAATGGCTCAGAACCACATTGCAGAGTGCATTTGCCTGTTGAGACCTTGGAAGCTTAATTTAGATTCACTATGTGAACTGGTTCAGTGTGCTAAGCATGGCAAGGAAGACACAAAGAACATGTTCATCTCTTGGGTTCTTTCTGCTTCTCCATGTAGATATTCTCAGGGCTGTGAATGATATGACCAGTGCTGCGTTACTTACCCGTTTAGTCCAGGCTGAGAGGACGTGGGTGCTGGGAGTACGGAAATGAATGTTTAATACCACAACACAGTTTACGATTACAAAAGTGACGAGGACCATAATAAATATTAAGTACCTAGGAGAAAACAAAAAGGCAGTAGTTACTCAGAGCACTCTCCTTGCACACCATTCACACACAACACACTGCTTGCAAACCCACTCACACACAACAGATTCCTGGCACGTCCACTGTGTACAGGCTGAATACAACACATGTACAGCACATCCACAGCCTGTGTACACTAGTACACAGAAATGCAGTGAAGAGCCGGGAATGGAATGTCCCATAATTAGTGTGGAGTCACTCACTTGGTAATCAGCGGAACAGCGTCAGCGGTCTCTGGTAATCTTTGTGACATCAGCAGCAGGAAGACAGACTGTGCGAGTAAGACATTAATGGACAGCGTCATCTTCTCACCACCTGAAAAAGCAAATAGAGATTAGACAGCTCACAGGCCTTGCCAGCACTGAGATCCGAGTCACTCAGTTTATGATGTGTAATTTCTCAGTGTACAATCAGGTTCCTGCCCGCAAAACATAACCTTTTCTGAAGCACCCACTTCCTACATTGATTAAACCGGCTGCTGTGTTCTTCTACAAAACACACAGTCATTACACTTTACAGTAAAAAAAATTGTGGGACATTGCTGTGCACAACTGGCTGCCGCATTTCGCCCACAAAACACACAGAACACTTTATAGTATATCCTGTGAAGCGCTTTGAAACGTCTCAATGATGCAATAAGGTGCTATATCAAATGCAAGGGTTATTATTATTGTTATTATCACAATAATGGACACAGTTACACTGACATCTCTCTGGAGGGTTCTATCCATTGGATACTCCGTTTAAGTATCAAAAATAATTTTCTCGTGTTTCAATCAAACCAATCCAATGATGCTGGCAGAGCAGTAACGCTGTGTGAACCAAAGTTCAATTGCTTATCACGGAACTAGTGACCTCTTTTAGAACACAGGTAAAACTTTCTAGTTTTAAGGTGATCTCAGCGGCCAGTATTTCAAAGTTTCTATTTTACATCTGGATAAGGCTTCTGTGCATCACCTCATCCAATCTTATGTTCAGTATTGGATTGGTTTCTATTAGCTCATGTCTCTACAATTCCAGGGACCAAACATTAAAGCAAAATGTTCTGACAACTCCTTGCTCTGGAATTTTCCTAAATCATTGCTGGTTTGATGACAAATCTTCCCTGAATTCCCTAAACAGATCCATCCTTAGTTCCTTCCACCAGAACAACCCTGAACGTCTTCACTATCTGTCAAGATCTATCAACACTCAGAATTCAAGGACTAACACACAGAATGTCGACCTAATACAACCACTACCTTCAGCCATTTTACTGATGTGCCACAATCCTTACTGCCTGGGAAGCAATCAAGTGTTAGACTCTGGTGCACTGGGGCACCTCATGTGGCAAGTGCTTGTTATAGATTAGGGTCTCAGGATGGACACTCACTGTCTGCAGGGAGGTAATAAGCCAGCAACATCAGAAATGAGATGAGGACAGAAGGGGTGATGATATTGATGAGGTAGAACAGAGGCTTGCGTTTGATGATCAGGTAGAAGGTGATATCCTGGTACTTGGTGCTGTTAGGAGAGACGTTTACGTGGATGTTCTTTTTTGCAGGATGATGTACAATTTCCCACTCACCGTTCTCTGTGCAAAGACAGAACAGTCCACGTTAGCAATACAATACATGACTGAGCAACACTCCTGCATGGCTGAACAGTTGGTCCAGTTTTACCCTCCTCGCCTGAAGTTCGTAAGAACAACCCAAAATATGGGAAAAGGTATTTTGATCTATCAGGCTGTGATTCATTAAAATCATACAACATTCTCAATTCAATCACTGGAGGCTTTTTATTCCCAGACACAACACCCCTGCAGTCAGTGGCTGTCCTTCCTCTGCAAGTTTAGGCAGTAAATGCTGGTAAACTATGTAAGTGGGGGGCATTACAGCCAAGACCAATACTGCACTTTCCCTGGTGTCCACATATACCTACACAGTAACCTGGATAGTCACAGGAGCAGTTACTTGGATAGTGATCAGGAGCAGGAACCCAGAATCATTACCTGTGAAAGCCTCGGGATCAATGATTATCCACTCAATTGGGTATGTCTTGCCATCCTTCATTTCTGTTTTGAGCTCCAGATGTATTTCATTGGCATTGTAATTGAACGAGCTTCAAACAGAAATAAAAATCTGTTACACCCATATCATCACACTGTCATTGCCAGTAAAATGCCCAGAACCCTGTCCATATCAGAGGTCTCAGTCCAAATTACATGAATGCATCAGACATCTACCAGCAATAGAGATAAAGGCAGGTATATAATGCAATCATTTAACAGTAACTTTACAGACAAAGATTATTACCCGTAGACTGGTGTTTACTACTCAGCACACACTACCAAGGAAATTATTATGGCACAGATCAGCAGATCATGCAGTAAAATAAATACTCGTGTTATTTACATCCAATGTTATCATTAACCTCATCCCAGATACTTTTTCAGATGTTCTCCTATGAACGTGAAGACATTTGAGAGTTCTCAACCAAGATTCAAAGAGATACATTTTTAATGGAAATTCTGAGAGATGGCAAGAGGTCAATACACTTTGGAAGTGGGTTCTAGAGAGTAGTTATGGAATGAATGGGAAACAGGCTGCTTGTGATATCTCTGAGCTTCACTCTACTCAACATGAAAACACTGAATCAGGAACAAGCTTCCTTGTAGCTGCAACGCCACTTATTCTACCTTTGATTCCATTTTATTCTAAAGAATATTCAATACAATGGTTTAGTGCTTCAGATGGGACTCAAGGACAATGGATACTTTTCAAAATGACAATGTACCATTTAATTAGTTTTTCTGGAAACTATCGTATAAACTGGAACCCTATAATTGTGAGGAGACTTACGTGAACTTCAAGGAGCAATTTTGCCAGTCAAATGGGAAATGCACAACATTGATCGGACAGGAGCTCCGGAATATTGCAGGAGGGAGCCAATAGATGAAACCATCTGAAGAAACCAGCACGTTGCAATAATACGCCACTTCGTACTGGCCATCAACACTGGGGAATAAAGTGCAGAGTTGATGAGATTCCCAGTGGATACATACAGCAAGTTAATAGTCTGCACTGTGTTCAAAGGTATAAAAACACATAAATGTTTCTTAAAATGTACTTCTGGCTAATCTCTCACCTTATATTCTAGTGTGTCCAGACCTAACTTCAGGTTCAATTCTAACACTCAGGTTTACATTTTACCCTGCACCCCCATCATACAGTTTGTCTAATAGGTGATATGTCAAACTGTGGAGAAAACATCATGCCATTTCATAACTATTACTGGTGATAATAATCATATCACTGGATTCCCCCCCACCCGCCCCATGCCTATATCCCAGGGGATTTGTGGCCCATAGTGAGACACTCTTGTCTACTCTGTGCAAATGGTTAGCTCAAAGAAATGAGTGATTGATCAGTCTTTGAACCTCCACCAGCTGAACTTTACACAGTACATTTATCCTGGGTCTGTGTGGGAATGCTGATCAGTGGCATCAAAGAGGTAAATCTTCACTGTAAATTCCATCAGCTCTCAGCCCACTCTCATATCCATTTTAATGCAATAACTATTCATACTTGTTTTCTAAGACAATGTCTGGCAGCCACACCATGCTGGGAGGAAGACGAAGGATTGAGACTCCACCGTAGTCCAATGTCTTCCAGGAGAGCCGAGTATCGAACCACCCCTGCAACAGAAACAATGACATGTATTGCTGAAAGAACTGCAACAAAGAGCACAAGACCATATGGAACAACAGCATAGCAAGGATTGGCTAAGACAGTTTGCACAGAGGAAACTCAGAGTACGTGACATGCTCCTGCACAGGAAGTCCGGAGCCTGGGCTCTGCTTCATTACAAAAAGAGTTTGCAGCATAGACCAGATAGCAATATCAATGACGAGCTATGTAATTCTAGCTAGCTAGACTCCAGCAGTACCCCAACACACACTTTGGGGGTCTCCAAGCCTTAGCTCTTGGCAACCTGCACCTATTACTTTCCAGAATTAGGTAAGCATGATACGTCCCTCTAGGGAGAGAGTACGCAGTCCGTTCCAACAATCTATCTCTATAGAATCTCCATGTGTAGGTGAAATGCATGGAATTCTCAGTTTGTTTTGGATACGCTTAATCATGGTGATGGGTTTTTGCATGTGTCAGATATCCAGCTGACCAGAAAAAATATAGACCAGCCTCTCATACAGAGAGCTCAGAAAGACTGGAAACAATACTCACATGTTCAATCCACACGTTTGTAAGCAAAGTTTCATCAACTTCTTTCTAGAATTAATTGAAAACAGAGAATTGAGTAAGAGCTTATATTTTAGTGCAAGTCCACGTAGACATATGGAAGACATCTATGACTCAGGGTCCACCGTCTTTAAACTCCTGGCCTCATCTATGGAGTCTTGCCACTTGGTTTAGTAGTCAAAAGCACTTCCTGAATGACCTGAATGTTGCGTGTCCATAAGCTCCCTCTCTGATCAATAATGATAACTGTGTGGAATCAAATACATCAAAAAAGAGATTCAATAATGTTTTGATATTGTTACAGGCAACAACTCGTAAAATGGGTATGTCTTTTAGTTTATTAATGGCAGGATCTACTGATATTTGGCTGAGGTCCAACATCTCTGACATTAACTTACCAGTGAGATGAGATTGGAGAGGGTTAAGCTCAGCGATACATTGACCACTTCCTTTTTGTGTTGGACTGGGCGGATTTCTTTGTTGTAATTTTTTACATTAAAAAGATCGTTAATCAGCTTCTCCTCCTGATTCTGGCTGGAACATTCTGGGGACAAACCAAACAAAAAGGACAGTATCAGCAAATCACCGAATACATGAAACAAGGAGATATTAATAATAATTATTCTTGCATTTGATATAATGCCTCATCACGTCTTCGACACATCTCAAAGTGCATCATGAATATACTGTAAAGTGAATTGACTGCATATTTTGTGGGTGGAGGCTGGCGTAAGGAGATGGATGCTAAGACAGGGAGTCCGAGACCAGTAAGGGGAGACAGACAATAGGGTGGGTAGACTGTGATTAAGGCGGAGGAAAAGCCTATGGTTGTCAGGCAGTTTGGTTGAAATCTAGAACAGAATGTACTGAGCTGCAGCTCATAACTTACTGCTCAGTTTGTCCTGGAAGACGGAGATACTCTGAGGAATCAGAGGATCAAGTGACAGTATAGGATTCGGGTCACACGCACGAGAGCGATGAACTCAGTTCCCATATCCTGTTTAATAATTTCCATTTGCACAAGTAAAAATTCTGGCATGTAAACCGTTATTTATTTATAACAAATTATCCTCGCCTGCAAGGATGCAGAAATTGACTTTAGTGCAGTTTATTTATTGATATTATGAGGTAGTTATTTTTATTCTGCGAAAATGTCTCTAGGAATATAATATCTCCTGAAAAGTACATTGTCCTCATTCCCTGTAAGTCATCTCTTGCAGCTTCCTCAACGGCTTAGTGGGTAAAGGAATGACCGGTGCAGCACTGATCATATCCGACAGAAGTCTCCAGGTTGAATCTGTAGTCTATGCTGAGTTAGCTGATATGAACCTGAACAGCAGGTGCAACTAAAAATTGCTGCTCCCTCGGGTGGGGGGGAAATCAGCCAGGTTTGTAACTGCTAACTGCTACCCAACGCCTGCTCTAAAGTGAGCGTGTGAACAAAGGGTGACGGCAGAATTGAGTTTGACCGCGATATTCACTACAAATGGACTATTAGCACTCACTGGAGAGATAAGATCAGATGGACCGAAGGGCCTTCTTCACCCAAACCATTCTTGTAATCTATCCAAGCTCACAAACGAAGAATGGCTACTTGATAAATTCAGGAAGAAGAGTCAAGAGACAACAACAACCAATTACATTTGTATAGCACCTTTCACATCAGGAGGACGCTCATCAATCCTGGCCTGCCAACCCCTCAGCACAGTGTCACCACAGCAGCTACTCTTGTGTCACTGTGGATTCCTTAGAACCGAGTATTCTGGCATTCCCAAGCGCTAGATATGGAAACACCAGCTGCTTCACTAAGCCTTCTATATTTGAACTCTCTTCAAGGCCTGTAAACTAAAGCAACAATAGGGTCTCATTTGTGAGAGTCACAAAGTGATTCCTGGTGAGTCCTGCAGGTCCCTGGTATGTCAGAGACTGAACTGATGGAATTTCATCCCAATACCCATCTTCTGTTGGGTACCTGACAGCCCCACACTGTCCCCAGCCCCCATCCCCTGACACCCCCACAAGATAATAATTCCCGCCTAAAAATAATAATAATTTGGTCACTCAATCCACAACTGTTTGTGGGACACTGCTATGTGCAATTGGCTGCTGCGATTTGCCGGCAAAATATAGTCATTTCACTTTACAGTATATTCTGGGAAGCATTTTGAGATGTCTCAACAACGTGATAAGGCACTATATCAAATGTAAGGATTATTATTATTAATATTATGGCCCTGCCCTCACCCACTCACAGCCCCACAGTGTCCTCAGCTCCACCCCGACAGACTCACATTGTCTCAATCTTTACATCTAAAACCCATTGTTCTATTTTGCACATTACAATCGATCGTTGCTGTGACTTTAGGTTTAAAGTGTTTGGGTTTGAAATCCTTTTGTGGCTACTAAATACAGTATTAAGCATTCGCTGTGTGCCCTGAGGCAGCGTCACACAGAATCTGTCAATCTTCTCTCTGCCTCTGTCTTTTCCTCATTCATGCACAGCATTCCTAGGAATTGTCAATCAGCTGCTAATGGAGCGCTGCAGTGCTGGGAACTGGTACTGAGCTCTTAGTGGCACTAACCCTCAAGTCTGGAGCAGGTTAAACCTGTGAGTAATACAGTTAAAATCTTGAAACTGAAAGAAAACCTGTTACAAGCGGCACGTGTACAGGGAATGCCTGATCTGATTCAGGTTCAGCCTTCCTCTGAACATGGTTATCCTTACTTACCTGTCTGTCTGTGCCCTGCCAGCTCTATCAGTCGCAATATAAACTTCATCTCCTGGGATTGAGACAAGTTTCCGAATAACTCTATTAAGGAACAGGTCCAGGGATGTATTGCTGGTAGTTTAGATCTAGACAGGGTTTCTCTTCCAACTTAATGGTTACAGGCAGTAAAACAGCAGAGCTTACCTGTGCGAGAGAGACCTGCAATGAGCAGGATGGAGATGGCGAGTTTCCGCATTCGGAGCGTCAGTGTAACACAGCAATGGAAGCCTGGTCAGTCTGGCAGCTTTTAACAGCGTTTGTTGAAGGGCAGGGACAGACTGAAACCTGATCCACACATGAAACCGACACAAACAGCTGCCCTCTCCATGTAAAGGATTTCCACTGAAATCTCTGGTATCCAATCGATTCCCCTCTCCCACACACCACAGTACCCCCTCCCACCCATGCAGCGTCACCCCCTCTCCTGCTCGGCAAGTTGTCCCCTCCCTCCTCCACAAAAGAACTGATTTGGAATAATATTGGAGAATTTAGTGGGAGTCTCACAATTAGAGAAACAAAGATATCATAGAGGATGGGGGTCTGAGCGAAGGAGCCAGGACAGGCCATGGATAAAGCACGCCCATACATGTTTCTAGTTCTTTGAGGCCGTGTCAGTTACATATAATTTAATCTGTTGTTTCTACAGGAGGCTAAACCCTCTCTCCAGTGCATACCAAAACAAGTGAGAGACCTGAGTTCAATTCCAGGCAGGGCGAAACCTTGGGCAAGTTTCCTTACTCCACACGCCTAATAATAATCCCTCCAAAAAACCAAAAACAATAATTAAATTGGTCATTTTCAATCTACGACTGTTTGTGGGACATTGCTGTGCGCAATTGGCTGCCGCGTTCGCCCACAAATATACAGTCAATTCACTTTACAGTGTGTTCTGTGAAGCGCTTTGGGACGTCCTCCTGACGTGAAAAGCGCTATATCAAATGCAAGGATTATTATTATTATTATTATTATTAATTTGCAACACAATTGGCATCTTCACACAGGATAGCATCTCAGAACGTTGGATTATATCATAGGGTCGAGCTGGGAAGTTCAGTAGAGGCGGTCAAAGCCTAGGAACATAATTACATCTAAAAGAAATGTGCTTTTCCAGTATCTTTATTTCAGGCGATCAATGCTTTTCAGCACAAAATAAAAGAATTATATAAAAAAGTACAAATAATAAATAAAGTCTTCCTGTCGACAACAATGGTAACAGCAGTACAGTCCCTTAGTCTCAGTCACTGCGTCCTTCACCGTATGTACATGTAGTTTTACAAAAAGCAGAAATGTTATGCAAGGTCCCAGGTTAGAAATCCAGTTTGCTGATTGAAATTACATTAGCCACGCCCTTTGAGTACAACCATCAGGGAGTTCATCAAGTTACAGAAGAGACAAGTGGTTTCACTCCACCAGGACAGAATTGCCCAATCTGATAGTTTAAATGGCAGCTTTGGCTCAAACCTCCTAGTTGCTGGATTGTTTAACACACAATTGGGTCGAACACTCAATGTTTCGGACACTCAATGTCCCAAAATCTCAATGAAACCTGCTTGTTTCTGTGACATAATTATCATTTGCTGGATGCAGAATTTACATATTTACAGCACAGGGGATTGTAGAAGTCAAGAGCCACATATGCAGGAAGGCACTAAAAAGACTCAGTCAATGTTCTTTGCAGGTTTGATGCTGGATTTCAGGGATAGTCGAGCATTTGGCAGATGTGTATGTCCTCAGCTATCAAGGATGTGTGGGTATTCGAAAATATCTAGCTGTGAGCATGCTTTACTCCCCTTGTATGACAGAACTATTTAACCCAAAGAGATTATCTCTTGCAAAGGGCAAGAATTCAATCATTATTGTTTTGTAATCTGCTCTAAAACCATTGATTTTCTGCCATGAGATCTTTATAATGGGATTAAGCATTTTACATAAGGAAACAATTGCTGCTTTCAGTGCTCAGCCTGTGATAGACCACTTAACACTTCCACTAAACCAGAGATGGACACTATCATCCCATTTTTGACCAGACGCTTTTTATAACAAATGGTCCAGAAATATCTAAGATGTAACCCTGGACACCAACAGTCTAGTTTTATAATAAGTCCTTTTTTGCCCCCCGTTTACTTCTGCTGTAAGATGCACAAGCTGTTTTTTTTTTAAAATTCTGCTTCATTTTAAATCAGCAGAAAAGCAAAGGTCAGAGTTCTCCACATAAGGTCACTCCACCTCACTCGAATCCTGCCTATGTATGGATCTGGCAAACAATGTTGACTCTAACCCATCGGCAATGGCCAAATACGAGCTGTCAAACAATTCAATCCTCAAATAAAGCAAGTATAGACACACATATTTCCCCCCAGGCAGAGTTCCACGCATGGAGCTCCTTTCATCCCCAATTGCCATTTCATTGCCAAACACTCCACACGTGTCTTCCAATACGTTTTCTGACTGCTCACAGATTAGAGTTCTGGAGAACTCAAGCCAGACCCCAACCAATTTAAAAGTCCTGCCCAGATGTTCTAATCTTTTCGAGAAGTAATATCATTCCCAAGTAAGGAATCCTCTGGCTCCCACTATGTCTTTAAAGAGTCCAGGGCCAAAGCGATGACCCGTGCCATGCTCCTGGAGAAGGAATCATTCTGCACTCCCATCAGGCAATTAAAGCTGATGGAACGTCCTGCAACCAGGGCTTTTACTCGTGCCCTGTACAGTTCCTTCTCGTTTTTGGAAGTCATGTCCACCAGTACCTAGAGAAGATCAGAAATATAACCAATAAACACCAGTATGTGAATCAAAGCACAAAGGAACATGTTCTATGTAAATGTGAATAGAATTTTTCATTATCATGAGGTACCATCACTCACACCATGAAATACTCTGCACGTACCTCCTGAAATTTCATCGACAGCTCCTCCACTGGGATGTTCAGAATCCACTTATAGCTATCCATCAATATAGAGAGATTCAATAGTGATTCGTTCACGCTCAGACACCCTGGGTCTGCAAATAGAGAGAGAGCAAGATTTCAGCACTTACACACATCAGTAACTTTTCCTTCCCACTTACACTTCCCCATCACCAGTTGTACTACAACGCTGTTAAGCACTCCATTGTCCTTCCACTTATACATTTGTAACTCACCAGTGGTTTGTAGATGGGTTTCTGACTCAGCTAGCACCTTCGAAACATCTCGTTTCTTCACCTTTGATTCATGCATTGAGATATTCAATCCTGTTAATAATACGTCAAGATTTTCAGTTCATTTCAAACAAACCAATCTGACAGAAAACATGTGTGAAATATTTTACAGCGTACCATTGTGCTTCAGTGATGTCAATAGCTTAGCTCCGTCCAGAATCTGTGTGTGGTTTAGCAGATCACCCATCTCAGGCTGGGACCTCAGACTTCTTATCAGAGATTGAAGTTGTTCTTTCAGGGTTTCCACCTGTGCTTTGGAACTCTGCATGGAAAATATTGTGGTTTAAAATTGGGAATTAATTTACAAGTGCACACACCAGGCGCTATAACGAATTCGAAGCTGAGTGAGTGTGATTCTGATGCATTCATCAGAGTGTGATCAACTCCATCAGGTTCAGTTGGTAGCACCTTCACCTGTAGTCAGAAGATTATGTGCTCAAGTCCCATGTTAGGACTTGTATTCATTGTCCAACTGTCGGAATAATGTACCATCCTTCAGATGAGATATTAAACCAAGACGGCTGGATTTTAAAAGTTCCTGCAACACTATTTGAAAAGAGTTTCTCCCTCGCCAACAATCCTCCAGATACTTTAGTCATTTATTTTATGGCTACCTTTCTATGTACCAATTGTTTGATTACAAACATACTGTCACTACACTTGAAAGGAATTACTCTTGAAGTACTTTGAGATGTTTCAATGTTATAGACTCTGTATCAAATACAAGGATTATGTTTATTACATTGTCAATTGCTGTACCTGTATAAAGAGCTGTTTCTCTTTGCTGATTGCGTCCTTTTGCTCCACGTTTCCAGCACCGGACTCCATCCATTCAGTGATTCCACTGAAGTAATGGACCCAATCATCCAAACCTGGTCCAATCTCTTCAAACAGTGACCGAACCTCTGCTGTTCCCATTTCTACAGTTCTTGAAAAGAGAGGAGCCCGAATAAGTGAACTGCATGGAGAGTTAGTAAACACAGAGCTCGTGAACATAACACACTGAAACCCAAGAGCAAGCATGTGGAAAACTGGGAACTTTCAGTACTTGCATATAAAAAACGTTTCATCACATGGAAACATTGGTGCGTGTTGGTGAAGGGATCTGAATGTGGTGTAGACTCATAGAATGCTTACAATACAAGAAAAGGCCATTTGGTCTATATGTTCGTGTGGGTGCTAGCTCCCTCACTGGAGTTATCTACTCTAATTCCATTTCTCTTCTTTCTCCCCTAATAATATTGCTTTAAGATTTTTCTTCGTGTTTATTCAGTTCCCTTTTAAATACTGTTATTGACTCAGGTCTTGCGGTAAAGCATTCCACATTCCATAAACCTCTGTGTAATAACAACATGACCTATTGTTACTGACTCATGAATCAGTGGATATAGTCTTTCTGTATTTACTCTGTCAGTGCTCAAACTTTAGGAATCTAAGTGTCGCTGATGAGCTTGACCCTGACTCCGACAGAGACTGGTTCGAAGAGCAAGTGCTCTGTCTGGCTGACCCTGGTCGTGTCTGGTTTGAAGTGTCTGATGGTCGCTTACTGGCCTGATCTCAACTCTGGGTGTACTTGCCTTTTGAATGAACATTGTTGAGTTATTGATTGACAGTCTCCAACTGCAAGTAGAATGTGATTTGCTGAAAGACGCACTCACCTGTTGCTGACTTCCTGTTGCGTGTCTGACCCAGTGTCTGGCCTCAGAGACCGTCTGTGTCTTTCCTCTTTTAGCCCAGCTGAATGTATCTGTTCTTTTAATGTTTAGAAAGAATACATGAATTAGTTAATGAAGCTGGAAGCCATCATTTTAGATATTACCAGTTTGTCTGCTCTGGCATTGCCTCTAATCTGCCAACCACAATCTGTCCCTTATTTGAGTGCATCGGAGGTTTAGCTGCAGTACTCAATAGATGAGTAATTCAGGATACTTTCAACTCACTATCAGGCAATTCTCAGATTGGTTTGGAAACTCTTAAGCATGGTGATGGGTTTCCGCATGCTGACAAACAAAAATCCATCATCCTTTCAATCGCAAACTAGTCAATCACATTTGCACTGGTAGTGAGCACCACCACCAAGTGAAGCAATTATCCTGATGTATTCCTGTGGGGAGAGCAACTGAGACCTCATTGCTCATCTGGAATTCATTACATTTCCTGGACTTGACAAAGAGCTGAGTTGCCAGATCAGAGGTTCTTTTCTTCACCGTCACTTCCCTCCTTACTTTATTATAAAGACCACATTTTCCTAATGTGGGTGGTACAAACCCAAAACATAGTCTGTTTTAAACACTACATCAGCAGAGTTTCCAGAGAAAATCCAAGTGTTAATCTATGTGTGTGGAGGGGGTTGGGGGGGCTTCCTGGAGCACTACAATGATACTTTTTGAGCAATGGAACTATGACAGCCTTGGTGTGGGCCTACTGGATTGATCAGCTCTCATTCACTGTATTCAGGATGGTCATTGAGTTGTGATATTTTCAGCAGGTACAGTCAATATCATACAGCAGAGAGTGCACCCGAGCCGGTGACTGCTCAGCGTACCTGCCTCACTCTGCGACGGCTGCTGCTCCAGTGATGTAAAGATGTTGCTGTAGATATCCTCCATGAATTTGGGGATCGTGTCGGTGAAGAACGAGAAGTTGCCCTCGCTTCGCAGAAAGTCCTGCACCTGCCCCAACAGCTCCAGCAGGTTCTGCAGGAACGTCCTGACCTCTACAAGGAGGAGAGATCATCATTTAGTGACGGGAAATCACAGCTTGAGATGGGCACCTCCCCAGTACTCTGCATACTGCTCGTACTCTGGTTACTGCTTTTACCCATAAGTCAGCTAATTATATTCACTGTTTACTGGTATTCACCTGGGCTACTTGATTGCTCTTTCTGGGAAAGCATGGCTAGACATAGTGGGAATTGGTTGCAGGGATCCACTGTCTCTGCTCTTGCCCTCCTCATCTGCAGTGAATTTCTGACAGACTCAGAGACACACACCGAGCCCCCTCCCCCCCTCGAACACTCTATTTGGAGGTTCACTGTCTGACTCGAGGACTCTGCCCATTTAAACATGCTCAGGTGAGGGCAGTGCTTACCGCAGGTTTTCATTTTCATCTGACACTTCTGCTGTGCGCTCTGGTTACAGGCTGCTGACCCCAGAGATGGGGGGCACACTTTGGAGTAGAAAGCGCAGAGGCGAGTAACCTCTGACTGTCGTTGCGCCTCCTGCACCTCCAACAGCTTCTGAAAATCATAGCAGGTGGGCTCTCGGCTCCCAAGCGATTCTGCGGAGAAATCATTTTGCTCAGGTCAGTGAATTAATCCACCACCACATAGAGGTAGGTATGCAGGCAAACACACCGTGTGCACACACATGCACATGTGCAACAGATTTGAGAAGCTACTGCAGCTTCTGGACCAGGAGGGTGGTCTTGTTCCATGATACTGATCCACGTTCAGCCTACAGGCAGGTCACGTTCCTTTTGTGGTCTGTATCCGAAAGCTGTCCTTCGGGGAGTGTCAGTTTTTTGTCGGGTGTCTTTGGGGCTGGCTCCACGGCGACGTAATTGAGTCGATATTCTGAGGTGGTTTCAGTAATCTGGTTCCTGAGCCGGGCAGGTCAGTAGTACTCTATTGTACTGTTGACAAAAGGCCAGTACATTTCACCAGTAACAGATGGACAGGGATTGCTCACGGTGGTTGAGGGCGCTATCACCGAGTTTAGAAACTGAAATCTCTTGCCCTCTAGTGGTCTCCAGCAGCATTTAATCCTTGACTGTCCAGAGCCTTGGGACGTCCTCCTGATGTGAAAAGCATCACAAATGTGATTTGGTGTTGTTGTTGTTTAGTGGACATGCCAGCATTTCTAAGGTGAAGGCAGGATCAGGATCTAAAAGCAGAAGTTTGGCCAACTGGTTTTGGTGCTTGAACTGAATTGAATGTAAAGTTATATGAACTGTGTTATAGAACAGAAATGTCTAAGGGTGGTGAACGGGGTTGACTAACCTTGTACTGAGGCTACGTTCAGATAAGTTACATAGGTTACATAGAATGATATGTCACAGAAACAGGGGATTGGCAACAAATAGTCCATGCAGGCTTTATACTCCATATAAGCCCTCTCCCCTACATTCATTCCCCTCTTATACCCCTCCATTCCCTTCTTCCTCATGGATGCATCAAGTTTCGTCTTAGATGGTGATACTGAAAAAACTACTATGTCATTGTTCTATCACTGAACTGTACATGGTCACTGTTGTCCTTATGCTCAATGACATCACTCTATAGGGCCCTGCACACTGGAGGCATTGTGCCACTGTATTTGCTTTGGGTGTTTAATATGGCTGTTAATTACTTTTTAACTCCTCGTTGATCCAGGTTGTAAAGCTTGGCACTCGGGTGTAAACTCCTGGCTTGTTCCGCTGCCCACAGCCATCTCCCCAGGAAGTGATGCCATACAGGTAATACTGCTTAGATGTGGGGTCCACACAGGTCAGCGGACCTCCTGAATCCCCCTGTGACAGGAGAATGAAGCACACGGTTACACTCTGTACTCTGTATATCCCTGAACCAGAAATCTCAGTCAAAAAGCCATTGTAAGATCAATCTCACTCTACTCCAACTTACTCAATACCATATCAGTAACAAATTCATGTCAAGTGAATCCTAGTTGTTAATGTTACCTTCACCTTGACTGGGGCCTCAGATAGAGCTGGAAAACAGGAGTGAGTTTGTCCTGAATTAGATTTGATTTGTTTTTCTCTCCTTCACTGAATTCCCTGTAACCCATCTGAACTCAGCCTCAGAACAAGAGTAGCCTTTCGTGCTGAGGTTTTGGTTCCAGGGCTGCCAGGAACCAGAAACCTTCCAATAACTGCCCAAGGAGCCTTTCTCCAGACTATAAGCAATGGTATGCTCTTCAGTCATAAAGAGGTGTCACTGTTCCTCACCCAGTGTCCCTGCACGTTCACACTCTCCCACTGGGTTATTAGATTGTGATCAGGAATGGGGAACCTTGGATAATGTTTTCTTTCCCTAAACCAGGGCATGAGTCAAAGTACCCTTAATTGTTGCCTGGCTGAGATCAGATAACTCAGAGCATGCTTCAAACCTGAGACTTTCCAGGTCAGCTCTGAATTAAGCAGTGCATCCGTACATTGAGTGTGAGTCTCTACACACTCAGCTCCATGCACTCAGTCAGTTCCTGCAATGTTGGCTAGTTCACTAATCCAGTGATATTCGCTGCACCACCAGCTGCCTTTTTCTAAATGGTCCTATTGATATCTCACCTGGCAGGAGTCAACCTTCCCGGTCAGGTAGCCGGCACAGAACATCTGGCTGGTGATGAGCTCCTTCCCCAACGCAGTTTTGCACGTGCTCTGAGCCAGCAGGGGCACCTTTGCCTCCATCAGTATATCTGCAGAGGGCCCGTCTGTGCCCAGGAACAAAAGACAACCAGGAATAAGCAATGCATCAGTGATCATTGGGAACTTCCAACAACCAAACACTGCCCTCGGAGCCACCGCCCACTGACAGTCATTTCATTCTGCTCCCGCTCTGCTGCCTAATTACTGATTCCTCACATCATAAGGTGCATCATCCACCAGCTTTACTTATTAATTGTGTGTCGCTCAATGTGTGAATAATGGTATACATGGTATACATGTATGGAATACGTTTCAACACAAACGTCTGCACTACCCTTTACATTATTACTGCGATATACCTCAATTTACAGCAGCATTCAACAACAGCTTACATTTATATAGTATTTCACGTGAGGTAGCATCTTGGAGTATACATCGTACATCATGTCTTATTTGTGTGGGTTACTGATCTGAAGACAGTGCCCATAGTTTACTTTGACACTGAACTAGTACTGGAGCTCACAAAAGAATCTGCAAATTCACATTTTTTTCTTCAAATAAACACAGTCTGTATTTTCTTTCTTTAAACAGATAGACTCCCAAAATACACCAAGAATACATTTGTGGCTCAGTGTAAGGTGGACCATTAAAAAAGGGTCCGTTCATAGGAAGTCAATTATTGTTAAAAGAACTTTCTCTCGTGAGCACATCCTTTCTTTGTCTATGGCTATCCACTCCAGTGACCTGTGTTGACCTTTACTACTTTGCTCTGTTGCCAGTAACATTAAGCAGCTATATGCAAGTCACATAATGAACACCTCGGGTGTACTAACACCATGTCTAGACAAATGAAGTGTATAATGGCGCTGTTCTCAGTTCAGCTTCATGATTAATTTTTCAAATGATTGTCTACCTGTTAGCCGTCAGACAAGGTTTGTTTAGAAATGATTTGTATGTTGAATTTTAGGATACTTTCAAGCAACAAGAATTAACTCTTTGAACGCTAGATACTTTATGATTCTATTAGACTATGATGGCACCAGTTCAACACTATTTGCTACATTGACTGATGTTTCAAGAGGCACAGAAATTGTCTGTGTCATATTTCCAAAGTATTCTTGATGTTTTGGGAGAGTTAGTAAGATTGCAAAGGTCAGCTTCTAATGTTAATTAACAGCTAGTTGTTCTTTAGAAGCTTTTGATTAGAAAGCCTGTTTTCCAGATCAGCATCAGCCTGTGTGCTCTCTCCTTACCCTCATAGACTGAGCCCCAGCCTGCAATGTAGCACATGGTCCCAGCAGGAAGTTCCTCGATCTTCTCAGGGATACACACAGAGCTCACCAGCTCAGACACAGAGACCGGCACCGTCAGCTCCAGCAAGGCAATGTCGTTATTGAATGTTCTCTGGTTAAACTGCGACAAGAAGTATTGACACCTTAGATAATTCAGCTTAGGTACTGGTGTCTAATTTGCAATACTGTATTTACAATACAGCATATTGTGATTTCTGAAACCAACCAAAATGCAGAAAAAAGGCCCAGAAACGCTATCTCCCCACAATGGCTGATTTGTGGAGTCCTGTAGCTCAGTGGTTAGAGCACTCGCTTTGCAAGCGAGAGACCTGAGTTCAATTCCAGGCAGAGGGCGAAACCTTGGGCAAGTTTCCTTACTCCACACGCCTAATAATAATCCCTCCAAAACCCCAAACAATAATAAATTGGTCATTTTCATTCTACGACTGTTTGTGGGACATTGCTGTGCGCAATTGGCTGCCGCGTTCGCCCACAAATATACAGTCAATTCACTTTACAGTGTGTTCTGTGAAGCGCTTTGGGATGTCCTCCTGACATGAAAAGCGCTATATCAAATGCAAGGATTATTATTATTATTATTATTACTGTCCGTCTTTGGTGACACTTCGGCAATTAGCTTCCCATCCCCTTTATGATTATCGAAAGTTAGTTCCTAATGTAGTTTAATATGTTAAACTCTGAATCATTTTTTTCTTATCGGTTCACTTTCTGTTAGGTTTGAGTTCAGTTTCGCTGCTGCTAATAGGGAACAAGTTGGACTAAGAATGATGGCAGAATTAGCTCAAAGGGATTTTACATCTACATGTTAGCTTCAGTGGGGCTCATGTGTGAAGGCTGAAGGTAATTTAAAGCAATAAGAATTGAGAGCACATCCTTGAGCTCCTACCTTGGGGTGAATGATAATCCGATTGATTTGGGTGATTCTTTCTTCAGTGTCTTGCTTGCTTAAATCGTATTCACCAGTGACAACTTGCCAATAATTCTCATTTCTGTTGCTGTGGATGAATGATTGACAGTTGGTGAGTGAGCAGTAACAACAAACGTAGGAAAGCGAATAAGCCATTCAGTCTGATAAGATTAATGGACCATTTTGTTAGATCATGGCAGATCTTTTAATCCTATTTCACCACTTTCTCCATAATCCTTAACGCCTTTATTTCCCAACATTCTATCTCTCTCCCTTTCAAATATCTCAATCAATTCTGCATGACCAGAGAAAGAAAGGGGGGAGGAGAGAACTTCAACACTTTTGATAAGTAACTGCATAGCTCTACCCTAAGTCTTCCAGCTAAAGAACATGCATTGGAAATATTAGGGCTCAGAAATTAGAAACTTCAATGTTACAGAAGCTGCAGTGTTTCATGACAAATCATTAAATCACTAAACAAAATCAAGACATGAACAAAATCAGCAAATAATAGACGTTTGGTGAGGTGATGATGTCGCTTCCGTTGATCAGTCTGGTGGTTCTGAATACAATCAATATCTCGCTCACCCTGTGAAGCAGTGTGCAGCTGTCGCTACCCAGGAGTCCTGCACCAGCACTCCCCCACACATCACGTTCCCATTCAACTTCAACAGCACCAGCCAGGGCCAGCTCCCGGGAGCCGCCATGTGACCGCCCACGATTCTCCCCATCACAAGGGTATGGTTTGGTGCCGCTGCTCTCTGACCACACAAAGCTGAAAGAAAGAATGAGGTGTCAATATGACTGCTGCAGGTCAACATAGTTGCGGCATGTCAATACACAAAGCCATGGCTAAAACAAGAGACCTAATTACAACGCCTCATGTATTTCACCCTATAATAACTCAGCTTTGCAACAATAATTTATAAAGGCCAATCAACCTCTGCTAAATGCCTCTTATGTAAGTGACCTTTAACGCCAAAAACCTGATCTCCTGCTTACCTTTCCTTTCTGGCTTCAGCACAGATTTTGGAGTCTTCATGTTGTTCGTTAGACCTGTGAAGGCAAGACACTGTTACACATCACATAGACCATACCCACAAGTGAGTGAATCCCAACAAAACTCATTGGATTGTCATCAGAAGCAGAAAAACCGGCTGACTACCCGCCTCCCCTCCACACAGAGATACTAAAGGAAATGTTAGTGCCCAGGCTGGGAACAACAAATTCATTCCTACAGAGAGGATTCAACTTGGAAATCATATTGATGTGCTCAATATCACATCAACCAATGAATTGACTCACCAGAAGAATGGGCTAGCTTTTTTCTTTAAGACAAATTATTATAGAGAAACCTACTTAATAATGAGAATATTAACTCCAACCATCTGAGAATAAGAAGAGAGCGTACGGGTATAAATGTAGCTCTACCGCCTCTCGCCCAGGGCTGATAGGATCAGGGAGGATTACAGCTCATTCTACAGTCCAACTTGATTTCAGCAAAGATTTGACTGATTCTGAGTACTGGGTTGATCCGTGCCATGTAACTGGAAACCCTCAGAAGCCAGTGCTCTGTGTATCTAGTGTAAAGAGGGCTTAGCTGGTACAAACTACACTGAAGCATGCTAGTCAGCTAGTACGTACTGCACTGAAGTATGTGTGAGTGACATCGTTCTTGCATCTCTCTCAGGCAGCTCTCCTCCCGGCGTGTTCCCTGCTGGCAGTGCCTCTGATAATACCAGCAGGCTTTACTCAGCTCCCAGTTGCGCACTGTCTCTGGTTCAAGGGATTGTGCTGCCGAAAGTGTTTCACAGCTGGGCTCGGAGCTTGCCATGGTGCCCCTGACTGAAACACAAAGCAAGAAAACTTTCAGAATGAACAACAACAGTAAATCTTAATTAAGAAAGACACAGTATGGAGCTTGACCCATATAGCATCTGATCAAGATAAGAACAAGAAATGCTCAAAATCTGAATTGAAACAAATAGAAAGCGAAGAAATAAAGAAACAAAAACTTTATAGAACTTATCATGTCAAAGCGTCTCAAATAGCTTCAAAATATTATTGTCCAGCATAGTGATCGGCAAATGGCCACTTTCACACAACAAGGTCACATAACTAGTCCGGAGATGAATTATCAATTCACCTGAAGGATTGTTGCTCAAATCACCATAGAAACTCCTTTATCCTATTGAATGGTGCAGTGGAAACTTTAATGTCCACCTGAACAGGCAGATGGGACTTTATCCCACTTTTAGAACGGAGTGTTTAGAGATTAGGGACAATGAGGAGAATATTGACAGTGGTATCAATAAAACTGACTCAGATTTTTCTCAGGAGCAATCACTGTGCAGTCTCTACACATCAGTCCTACAGGATCTGGCTTATTGGAAAGTCTGCTGATGGTAAATTAGAAAGAGAGCAATTTTCCAGAGAGGTAGATGCACAATTACACTTGAAACGTTTCACTTACCACACTGCGCTGTCCTGTTGCCACAGCTCTTAAACAGACATGGGATACAGTAAGCACATTCCATCAGTCGCAGATTCCTGTCCTTCACCAGCTCTTCCAGCACCAACAGTGCATTCTTCATGGCTACCTCCAATATCATTGTACCTTTGCTTGACAGCACTGCCCACATACAAAAACAGAAAGCACTTTTCAAAAAATGACCAAAAGCCCAATCTCAGTTTTCATTTGCATTACAAACCAAATCTCTATCTAGAATTTTGCTCCCAATTCAACCCCAATCACTGGATACTTATAATGTCCATTTCTTGATCAATGTACCAGAGCTGAAGGGCTATTTTCCATGCTGTACTACTCTATGTAAACTTACGCTCATGGCAATATGTAGTGCATTTGTTTGCAAAATAGAGTCACTCTGCACTTTACAGTAAACCCGGCAAAGTGAGTTGACACCTCCCCCCCTGCCCCCGATGGGTAACCGCTGTATCAAATGCAAAGGTTATTATTGTTTCTACTACTTTATATATGATCCAGTTAGGCACTTGCCTGCCCAAATGCATTGTATTTACTAACATTTGTGGGGATTTTCTGTTGAATCTTCCACCTCCTCTGCCTGCTTGTCAGCTTTGTCAATTGCTATTGATATAATGATCAGTTATGTAGGTGAAAGGGTTGCAGGTTTAAATATGTAGCATTAGCTGATCTCAGCCAGAGCAGCCTTCGATGGCTAGAATTGGTCTCAGTGCCTCGAGGATAAAATGACAACATCAGCCAGGGTTCCTGTTCCTATTTGCTTCAGCTCTGAACAGAATCACTGGTGACGTTAAACATCAGCACATTTCCACAATCGAGTGTGATGGATTAGCCTTAATCTGGTCATTATCCACAGACCTCTGCTGGAAGGATAGATGTCAGGTGAAGACAGCATCAGGTTTGGTTGTAATGCCTCTCATGGTTGCTGGCATGCCCTGTCAAAGCTTATGCATAAATAATAATAATCATAATCCTTGCATTTGATATAGCGCTTTTCACGTCTTCTCGACGTCTCAAAGTGCTTCACAGAATATGCTGTAAACTGAATTGACTGTATATTTGTGGGCGAAACGCGGCAACCAATTGCGCACAGCAGTGTCCCACAAACAGTCGTGGATTGAAAATGACCAATTTAATTATTGTTTGGGGTTTTTGGAGGGATTATTATTAGGCATGTGGAGTAAGGAAACTTGCCCAAGGTTTCGCTCTGCCTGGAATTGAACCCAGGTGTCTCGCTTGCAAGGCGAGTGCTCTAACCACTGAGCTACAAGACTCCACGTCTAATGACTAATGATTAATGTCTAATGACCATTTCGACAAGGTATGAAGTCACCCAGACCCTTATGTTAGCATAACAGAAGGGGGTTAATGGAAACAAATGCCTTCAAACAAGAATGAGAGAAAATTGGAGGAATTAATATGAGCAGCCGGAATTTTAAACATTAGGTAAAAATCCTGCACTCTTAAAGTCTGTGATCCATTCTACATTTTTTTAAAATCTCTTTTCCCTCCATTCCCCAGTATTTCTGCTAAGTAAGCTGGGTGCTGATTTTGAAATGAAAACTTTTCAAGTATGTGCTATTTGCTTCAGTTTCAAACAGAATATCTGGTGATATTGAACATCGCCCCGCTCTCTAAGAATTCCACAATTGGACAGGTGGAGCACTAATCTGCTCATCCATCTATCAGAAATAAATCAAAAAGGCCCTTTTTTTCACATCCGATGTATTAAAAATAATAATTTGGACACTCAATCCACGACTGCCGAGTTTCGCCCACAAAATATGCAGTTAATTCACTTTACAGTATGTTCTGTGAAGCACTTTGAGACATCACAAAGGTATGAGAAGGTGCTATATCAAATGCAAGGATTATTATTAAACTCGGGTTCCAAGGCAGAATTCCCGAATTTAGGTAGAGTCAGAAAGTTTTCCAGATGGATTAGAGTTGTTTCTTGGTGTCATGTGAATGACATCAACAATCCAAATCCTGCTACAACTGTGTGTCTCTTCCAAAAGAATTTCAGAATTCAGCATGTTAAATGTTTGTGATCTGATCTGTTCCACGTGTCACCGATTCACCTCACCTGGATTCAAAGTTGGTGCAAGGTGGTCTCTGCCTACCAGCCAGTGTCAGAGACCTCATCAACAAGCATTCCTTTATTACCAGAATCCTCTCCACAGCCTGGAACACTTAACACCTGAGGGATTCCCACACTAATAAATAGAGTAGAAGGATGAAACATCTGGACCGAGTGAGTGAGACAGGAATTTTATTTCTAACCGCTCCATGTAATGTTCTAAGTGACTGCACATATCAACCAGTCCCTGGTCTCACTCAGTAGGAAAGGTCAGTCTTTCTCCCTCATGATATGATATGAGAGCAGTACACACTGTCAGTCACCCCCCCACAAATATAAGAATATAAGAATTTAAGGCGAAAGAAGACCATCCAGATCGCCTTCCACCACCCTGGCAATTGCATGCACATGTCGTGTCCCAAACTATCTCGAGATATTATTTTCTAACAGAAATCTATCTAATTTGTTCTTGAAAGAACCAACACTTTCTGTTTTCACCGTCTATCTAGGGAGCCTCTTCCATACATTTACTACTCGTTCACTGAAGTAGTGTTTCTGCAGATAACCGTAGATTCTACAAATATCTTCCATATTGTATTTCAATCTACCGATACCAATTCATCCTCTTTACATCTGAGATGTCAAGTGCACAGTCTTTGTGAACCACATCCACCATGCTCAGTCGCTGGAGTAAAACAGGGACAAACCCTGTGCTGCACACATTCTCTGAATCCCAGAACTCCACACACAGCCTGTGAGTGCATCATCTGAAGTTGAATGTCAGCAGCTGCTCTGTGCCTGTGTGTGCATGCTTTCTACCTGCTTTGTATGTTTATATTCACCACGTGTTTGTACAGGTTGCAAAGCAACTCATATGTGTGATTATTTTATTATTTCACTTGTAGCACTGAAAACATGCATGTGCCTAATACAATTCTTTGTGTGTTTTTATGTGCACATTTATATGCATATACAAGAAATATATATATAAACATGATTACAGTATATGAATAGCTGAACATGTAAGATTATAATCAATTCATGTGTTTTTTTTGCATAGGCATCTAAGCTTCAAGTGTAAGTTACGTGTGTATAGATATGTAGAATAATTGAAAAATATCTACTAACCTTCCAAGGCTCCGGCTGGGAGTTTGTACACATCTTTGCTCAGTGGGACAGTCAGGGTCACGTCCACAAACAACAACAAACACAGCATCAGCATCCTCAACAGCATCCTCTGAAACCGATTCAAAACCTTTTAAACTTTTCTTTGTGTGTCTGATGTTCCTGAGTTTAGAAAGGAGAAAGAGAGAGAGAGAGGGAGAGAGAGAGAGATGCTTCCTTTCGAGTCTTATTCTGGTTGCTGAAATTTGCTTTGCGATGGTTGACGACAGTGGGAGTGCAGGGTTGTATATATAGGCTGAGGAGCAGCAGGACTTTCCCAGGAGTTACAGACAAACAGTTGAATTCATTACTGCAGTGAGAGAAGTTTGCAGCGCTGACTGGTGCTGGGGGTGTCTGCCCTCCCTCTGAATAGCTGCATTGTGCTCTGTGCATGGCCCCGGCGGCAGCATCAAAGCCAAACTAATGATCAGCGGCCCAGGCCCTCGCATTGATCATTTTCACGCTTTTGTCTCCGAGAATAAAATATTGTCAGTTCGGATCACTTTTGTCCAAGGGAAGATTCTGCCAGGAAAGAGAAGGCGAACAATTCATTAAGCATGCTCGCCCGATCTGAAACACACATATATAATTAATTAGTAGGGGTCAACTGCTTTAAAGACAGGCACTTCAAACAAACACTACAAATGGTTCCTATTCCTCCATACTTTACATAATCACCAAAAGACAATAGCCAGCCGCTTGGTCATTGTAACGAGCTACGTGAAGCAATACTTAAAAGGCTTTGAAGCAGGGACATTGTGGGTAAAATTACACTGTTTAAAATTGAGGGTAACGGGCAAACTGGTGAGTAAATGAAACGTGTTTAATCCTACGCATTTATTCCAAGGCTCATCCACTCATTGCCACAGGGAATGGGGGGCAGAAAGAACCTACAAAACAAATTCCTGGATTTCAATCTACACCCAGGAACATTACCTACACATCACTCCTGTAAATTCATTGGTAACAAGATCGCTTACATTCCCCGATCGATGATGCTACTGTATAAACTCAGCTCATCTTTTACGTATTTGCTTCAGTGTTATATTCTAACCTCTGCATATTTAATCAGAACAGTCGAGTTAAATCTATTCTCTTGCTTGTTTATCTCTCTTACGCGGTCCTTTTTATTGTCTTCTTTCACACCAGCTCTTGGAAATCAAGCCCATCTGTAGCACCACCTACTACCAGTCAGTTAGAACACAAGAATTTGCGAGACGAAAGAAGACCGTGATGCATCCAGTTCGCCTTCCACCATCCTGGCAGTCGCATGCACATGTCACATTCCAAACTACAAAAGAACACATAAGTTGAGATCAGCTAATTCAGCACAGGACAAGGATAGAATCAGAGACACCTTCCCAGTATGAATTGCTGGGTGCCACACCAGGTGGTAGATTTGCCCCTCCCCTGAGTCGGGAGGACAGAGTGTGCTCTCTTCAGACACTAACACGGACAGATTGAGAAACTTAAACATTACCTACAGTGTATCTCAGTCAGTGGTGGTACGGGAGGTGAATGGATACCATACAAGGGGACCTACATTAGGCTTCTGCAATCATCAGCAAGATATATGTACCGTATTTATGATTTTACATTGAATAGTGTACAACCACTGAATACCTGGACTCTGAATCACATGTGCTAATTATGGTGATGAGCTAAGTAATGAGCTGACTGGACACTGTCCCAAACATAATGTAAATTATCTCGTTAAAAATCAAAGCGCCGACTTCAGAGAGAAACTTTTCGCATCAGATTGTAGTTATAAAGAAAGTGAGCAGCTTGTTCTGCTGCGGACTGCCCTGTCTCGCACCACATGTTGTTTTGGTGGACAGTGAATGCAAAAAAGACTCGTCACCGGC